CGCCTCTTGCTTCATGTCTCCACATGTTCAGGGCCCGGGTATTTGCCGGTAATGGGGGTTGAAGTTGGCGAGTTGCGATGGCCATGCCTCGGTTCATGCTCGTCGTGTTTCCCCGCAAGACCCTGTCGCCACACTCGGCCAATCACCATCCGCCGACTACTCGCCCTCTACACACTCCACGACGCTAGGCAGACAACCAAGAAGAGCGGTTTGGACTACTTGGGATTTTACAAGCTTTCCTGCTGTGCTCATCATGTCTTGTTGTAGGAATCGAACAAAAGATAGCAACCCGCCCTGGCTGCACGCCTCCAATCCTCGAACCCACTCCTCTCGAGTTTCCTCCTACTCAATCTGACAAGGGGCATGCGTCTCCCCGCTTATTGCATGTTTACCTCAGCATTAGAAATGCTACAACGAGACACGCACGTGCCCAGCGACCAATAGCATATCACCTATAGTATCAGAAAATAGAAAGAGCTATTTACTCGTTTCACCCCACCTATCCCTCCGCGGCTCAACACCACTCGCCACCCAGACTCGCCTTCAAGATAGGAAGATTGCCCAAAGCCAAATACACTATTGAAAACAGCCATGCAGCTGGCATCTAGTAACAAAATCCCACCTATATATATACACCGTACAACCATGTTGCCTCCATGTCGGGCGGAGAATCCACCAAGTCAGCATGTTCGCCTCAATCAACATCGCGACCGCAATCGCCGTGATTGCTTCCACAGCCAGTGCCGCACTCTACTATCCAGATGTCCAGACACATCTCCTTGAGCACATTCTCGTCGACAATTGGGGCGCCTACGCATCCAACTTTTCTTCTGCAATCACGCCCTGTGACCGCTATGTGACGCAGACGGGGAACGCGGCACTAACGAGTGGCCGCACGACGGCAGCCCAATGGATGCGTGTTCTTTTCCACGACTTCATAACGGCCAATGTGAGCGCAGGTACAGGTGGAGTGGATGCAAGCATTGGGTTCGAGACGGCGAGGGAGGAGAACAAGGGGAGTGCATTCAACGACAGTTTTACCTTTTGGAGACCCTATGTCAACGGCGCTGTCTCCAGTAAGTGTTTCGATCCTCCAGTCTATTTCCTGCTTCTTGACTGACGAGAAGCCCAGTGGCCGATCTCATCGCAATCGGAACTGTCATGTCGAACAACCTATGTGGAGGCAACAATATGCCCTATCGCCCCGGGCGCATTGACGCTCTCTCCGCAGGCTCCACAACAGGCGTCCCAGCACCAGAAACAAGCCTTGAAGAAACGCTTGTCTTCTTCGAGCGCGCCGGCTTCGAAAAAGTGGAGGATGCCATTGGCCTCACGGCCTGCGGACATACCATGGGTTCGGTGCACCACGGCGGCTTCCCCGAAGTCGTAGACGAAACCTTTGTCACGCCAAATAACACCAACGGCGGCAGCAACTTCGACACGACGCGCGGTGTCTTTGACCCCAACGTTTTGGGAGAATATGTGCATTGGACGGGCAACAGAGGCGGTCCGTTGGTGACTTCGCACAATGAGACTATGAACTCTGACCTTCGGCTCTATGAGAGCGACGGTAACGTCACCATGCGAGCACTGCTTGCACAGGGACCCGCGTTCCTAGATACTTGTGTCGAGCTTATGCGCCGTGCCATCGATACCGTGCCATCTCACGTGCAACTCGGTGACGTCGTCACGGCAATTCCCGTCAAGCCGATTAACGTTACGTATGATTACTCCAGGGTCGACGGCAAACTGGTGCTTTCTGGTAAGATTAGAGTGCTGACCGCAGCGGGACATCAAGGTCTAAATGCACTTACACTTGGCATGGGCCAGGATGGGACGGACATTGCACTTGTCGCCGAAGCCGAGACTGGGCAGTCTGTTTTTGGTCGTGGTGCTGCTGGATATGGGACCACGACTTATTTCCCCTTTTCGGTGTCTGGACCCTCGATCCGAAATGCAACTTCCTTTTCTGTGAGTGGTGCAGGTATTCAACAAGAGTTTTGGATTAGCAGCCAGATATTCGTGGTGCAGAGTTTGACGGCCCTGGACGGCAAGGCTGTAAATGCCGTTGTTGCTGTGTCAGCGCCTAGCTCTTGCGAGGATATCCATGTGCGTATCGCTGCACCTTTTACGCAGCCTGGAACATTGGCACCCAAGGTTACCGAGAAAGATATTGGGGTGAGCGCGTTGCCAGAAACTCTGGACGGTTATATGCTGTGCAGTGGCAATCTTATTCTGGATGATGTACCAACTGGCTTGCTCACCATAAAAGCACTACAAGGAGGAACCCTCGTTGATACACTGTTGGTAGATGGGGGAAAAGCAGGCTGGTAAAGTCTGAAGAATTGAATGTTGTTTGGTGTTTTTCTTCTCACCTTTTTGCATCTGGTACAGATGATCAGAAGAACAGTGCCTTTGGGAGTTAACAATAGACTCACACCTTGCCCAATTTGATCCACCTTGCCACATCCAGCCCAACCCGTACCCACACTCATAACGCCTGTCAGCAAGATACTAAAAGCCCCTGATATTCTCCCACTACCAGGTTGTCCTTGATAGCAAATAGCTGGCTGTATCTGTGAAAAAAAAAAAGCGCTGCTGCGAATGGAGATGGGGAAGTACCGTGACTGGCATGCTTTCTAGTAAATAAGTTGATAATTTAAGAGGGCTATATGTTGAGGAGGACGAGAGCTAATTAGAGAAGAAGAAGGAGCTGAAAGGAACGTACAAACTTATCCGCTAACAGTAATTTATTTTATTTTATTTTTTTTTTAAAAAAATCCAATATTTTGATGTCCAAGTCGCTTTTCCTTTTCTCAGGGTGACACTAGAACCATGGAACATAGCTCTACCATGTCCACTTGGACAAAAAACGAAAGTAAAAAGTCGGAGAATGAGAGGGATTGGGTATCATGGTTGTAGTTGCAAATCTTCTATCTAGGTACGAGCAGAATGTATACATAGTAATATCTTGTCTTCAGATATGTAATTCATTTGGCTTGGATGTAATGCGAAAATAGTGTAGAGAGACTACAGCACAACATTCGTGACTCTTGGTAGTACAATCAGAAAAAAAAACAAGAACAAGAACATAGTGCGGTCTCTGGAAGCGGGTTACAACACAGGTATGTCATTTCTAACTGGACCTAACCAACCAAGCCCGCGCTTTATTTTTGTATCTAGGTTAAGCAAGATATCAAGTGTTTGTTACACTGAAGTAATGGGGGGGCAACTTAAAAATATCATAATGATGAAAACCCTCTCCTTTCCGTTTTTCCTTTTGATCCAATGCACTGGTGTCCAACAGACAATGTGTAATAATAATGATGATGATGATAATAGCAACAACAACCACGTGACGGATTGTCGTCCTATCCCTCAACATTTAGTAAACTCACTTCTTCATGTGACCCGCCCAGCGTCTTTGTATAGCTCTCGCATTACGCTCTCCAAACAGGTCTTGAAGAATATCACGAACGGAATGTGTTATCTGATCCATATCACCATCACTCAAAGGGCGGCAGTTGCGAGCAACAAGGTCCGAGAACGACATCTTGGACGAGTGACGGACCGAATCTGGGGGCGCAACAAGTGCAGACTGTATAGAAGAAGACGATGGAACAACATGAGAGACTGACATTTGCTATTAGCGTTTGACTCCATTCATTTGCCCATTGACCTGTTTGTGCCCATTGACTTTACCCTGCGTGCCTGGCTGCGGCTGTGGTGGCGGCGGCGGCGGCGGTGGCACGGGCCCAAAGGGTCGACGTTCAGGTGCGGGCTCAACGCCGTCTTCCTCGGTGTCGTCGTCGTACTCCGCGCTATCTTCGTCTTCATACTCGTACTCACTCTCCGTCACCTCTTCGTCTTCCTCTTCGTGCTCCTCGTGCTCCAGCTCGTGCATGGGTACTTGGCCGCGACCCTGTGCTTGCATGCCGCGGCACAGCGTCTCTAATCGGGCAATCTTCTTGCGCTGCTCCTCGGCCTCCCTCGTCTTCTTGGCAAGCTCCTCCTGCATCTTTTGGCGCTCCTCGACCATTTCGCCAATATTTCGATTGGTAATGTCCTTGTGGCGCTGCAGATTTTGGTTTTCCTTTTCGAGGCGCTTCGTCTTCTTGGACATTTCTTCCATTTCTTTGCGGAATGTGAGAAAGAGGTCGTTGGAGTTGTTGAGGGTTTCCTCAACCTGCATCTGGTCAGTATTAACCATGATGATACAGACCAGCTAGGGGTGGAGGACTAGACGTACCTGTTTGAACTTTTCGACATAAATGTTGAGCTGGGTGCGGAGTTCGGTTTCGGTTTGTGAGAAGGTCGAGACCTGGCGGGTCAATTGATGCGACTTTGACGATTCGGCTTCTTGCTGCTTGCGCTGCTGCTCGAGGCGGGCAGAATGATATTGTATTTCCAGCTCCTTGAGCCGAAGCATGGAGTGGTACTGCAGCTCGCGCAATTCGTATTGGTCGATAAACGACTTGAATTTTTGGCGGAACCTAGACGTCTTAGCCAATGCAACACAGATGCGGATTACCAGACTTACAGCTCGTCCAACTCTTGCTCGGCTTGGTTCTGCGGCTCTGGCCCATTTGCAGCGGCTATACAGTCGTCGACGTCGTTGACAAGGTGCTCGAGGCGCTCGTGGAGTTCTTGGCGGGCGGCCGACTCGCTGGTCTCGAGCTTGTGCAGTTCATCCTTTAACTTCTTGTTCTCTTTTGCAAAGTCACGCGACAGCTTGTCGAGCTTGTCTTTCATGGTGGTGACCTTGTTGAGCTCCGAGCGCTGGGCGTCCTTTTCCTTTTGCAGCTGGTCGCCGCGCTTCTTTGCCTTTTGGTGTTCGCGCTCGGTGCGCTTCATGTCGGACAGCAGCTCGGTGTATCGCTTCTGGACGACCTCGAGGCGAGAGAGGGGGCCGTCCATGTTGGAGAGGAGCGAGGAGAGTTCACGGTTTGCTTTCTTGACTTCGCGTTCTGTCCATGCCGTGGTCAGCCAGCGATTTATCTTTACACAAGAGGGCCGTGGGCCGTGGTGATGGCGATGGAATTGCACATGTGGTGTACGCCACCTCGAGCATCCCCGCCCCCACCACTTGCACGGCCAGACATTGACGCACCGATTTCCAGTTCCTGCTCCTTGTCGCCTGCCTGGTCGAGTTCGAGCTGAGCAATCTTGGCCTGGATCTGCTTCTGCTGCTCCGAGGGGTCGGCGGCCTTCTTGCCCTTTGCCTTCTTAGCGGGCGCGGGCGCCGGATTGTGCTGGGCGGGCGCCATGGCGGCGGGTGAGGGCGATGCGGTGGTGCGGGAAGAGTCGTGCGGTGGCCGGGATGGGTGAGCAGATGTGGGCTGGCCGTGTTGGGCGACGGTGGCCATGAAGCCGTGGCTGGTGGATCCCGTGGTGGTGGCCTGTGACGGAGCCGCTGCCTATGCCACCACGCCCATGTACAGGACGTGTCGGAAGAGAGAGGTCTATGCAGCGGGGGTGCGCAGCCGCTGTGCAGTGCAGCAGCAGCAACCGAGTAACAATGCGCGCGGAGAGGGTGTGGCCGTGTCTCCGCCGACGTCTCGGGACAGCGTGGTGCACAGGGCGAGAGGGCCAGCAGAAGCAGATGTCGCAGTCAGTCCGGGCAGTCCAGTCGGGGCGGGCGAGAGGATGGACGGGGCGGGCGAGCAGCAGGCCGTGGTGTCGTCGACGTCGGGCGGGCACCGGGCAGGCCTTTGTCGGGGGAGCAGGAGTGAATGTACGTAGTGGAGTGCAGTGCCGTGCAGTGCAGCAGTCCTTCGCACTGTCTCCACCACGCCCACGAGCTTCAATATCGGCCAGGAGCACATGGGCCAGCGCCCGCTGCAGCCAATCCACTGCCCGTCCAGGCGCCTTCTGCGCCGCTGTGATTTTGCAGCCTAGCCCGGTTGGGCACAGCCCGCACGCGGCCAATCGGCGACACAGGCGTCATTGCTGGCCAGCATTTCTGTCCCGCCTTCGTGTCCATGGCCATCTTCTATCCACACTCTGCGCACCAGGCATTGCGACGTCTCTTCGCCCGTCCGCACCCGGCCCACGACACAAGATGCTGCGCTCTGCTGGGCGGCAGTTCCCACCGAGGCTGCCGGCCGCTGTCCGACGACACTATGCCGCTGTCGCCAGCGCCACCACCCTGCCCGCCGTCGGCCAGCAGCTCCATGGCTTCACCCTCAAGCGCGTCAAGCAGGTGCCCGAGCTGGAACTGACAGCCCTCCACCTCCAGCACGACAAGACAGGCGCCGAGTACCTGCACATTGCCCGCGACGACACCAACAATGTCTTCTCCATCGGCTTCAAGACCAACCCGCCCGATGCCACCGGCGTGCCGCACATCCTCGAACACACCACCCTGTGTGGCAGCGAGAGGTGAGGAAACCGGTCGGCTCCTCTGCCAACCACAAACTGACGGCCCAGGTACCCCATCCGCGACCCCTTCTTCAAGATGCTGCCCCGCTCCCTGTCCAACTTCATGAACGCATGGACCTTCGCCGACCACACGGGCTATCCCTTCGCCACGACCAATGCCCAAGACTTCAAGAACCTCATGTCTGTATACCTCGACGCGACCCTGCACCCGCTTCTCAAGGAGAATGATTTCACCCAAGAGGGCTGGCGCCTGGGGCCCGAGAACCCGCTGGCCAAGGAATCCGACGACCCAAACGCAAAGCGCATCGTCTTCAAGGGCGTCGTCTACAACGAGATGAAAGGCCAAATGTCAGACGCAAGCTACCTGTTCTACACCAAATTCCAGGAACATCTCTATCCCGCCATCAACAACTCCGGAGGCGATCCGCAGAAGATCACCGACCTTAGCTGGGAGCAGCTGCGCAAGTTCCACGCCGACCACTACCACCCCAGTAACGCCAAGATTCTCACATACGGCGACATGCCATTGGAAGAGCACTTGAAAGAGGTGGACAGCCGCTTGAGCAGCTTTGGCAAGATTGCCGTCGACCAGGAAGTCAAGGCACCAATTACTCTCGACGCTCCTAAGAACGTCACCGTTCCCGGCCCCCTGGACCCGCTGGTGCCTCAGGACAGGCAGTACAAGACTTCGGTCACTTGGCTGATGGGTGACACTGCTGATGCTGTCGAGAACTTTGCGCTTGGTGTCTTGAGCAGCCTCCTCATGAGTGGATACGGATCGCCCCTGTACCGTAATCTTGTTGAATCTGGACTCGGGGCCGACTTCAGCGCAAACACTGGCTACGATAGTGCGGGGCGACGAGGTGTCTTTTCGATAGGGCTGGATGCGGTCAAGGCAGATGACGTACCCAAGGTTCGCCAAGTTATTGCAGAAACCCTGCTTGAAGCTCGGAAGAATGGCTTCGACAAGATCAAGGTGGATGGCATCCTGCATCAACTTGAGCTCTCGTTGAAGCACAAGACAGCAAGCTTCGGCATGGGCATCCTCCAGCGACTCAAGCCAGGCTGGTTCAACGGCATTGACCCAATCAATGCTCTCGCGTGGCAGGAAACCGTCGACGCCTTTCAGAACAAGTACGCCGAAGGAGACTACTTAGAGAGCCTGATTGAAAAGTACCTCCTCACCGACAATACACTGACATTCACCATGCAGCCTTCCGAGACATTCAGCCAGGAGCTTGTAGACGAGGAGAGCCAACGACTAGCAGCCAAGATTGCAGAGACTACCAAGCAGTTTTCGAGCGAGCAGGAGGCACAAAAGTATCTAGAGGACCGCGAGCTTCAGCTGCTACAGGTTCAAGAGGAGGCCAGGAACGAAGACCTAAGCTGCCTGCCTTCTGTGCATGTTGAGGATATCCCGCGAGAAAAGGAGCGAAAACCATTACGCCACACCGATTTGGATGGTGTAAAGGTTCAGTGGCGCGAGGCTCCTACAAACGGTCTGACATACTTCCGTGCGGTACACAGGCTGCAAGACCTCCCAGACGAGTTACGAGAGATGATTCCGCTCTTCACAAGTGCTATTATGCGTCTTGGCACCAAGGACAAGACAATGGAGCAGCTCGAGGAACAGATCAAACTCAAGACGGGCGGTATCACTGTCGGTTACCACTCGTCTCAATCACCATTGTCACTCGATGCCTACGAGGAGGGCATGGCCTTCTCTGGCTACGCCTTTGATCGCAACATTCCTGACATGTACGAGCTTCTTCGAACAATTATTCAAGAAACGGACTTTGACGGCCCTGAAGCCGAGAAGAAGATCCGGGAATTACTGCAGAGTGCAGCAAGTGGCGCAATCAGTTCCATTGCCGAGTCTGGTCATTCTTATGCCATGCGATTTGCCGAGGCTGGTATAACTCCTGTGGGGCGTCTGGCGGAAGAGACAGGAGGTCTTACTCAGATCAAGCTCATGACCGCATTGGCGTCGCAAGAGTCGCTGAGTGATGTCATTCAGAAGCTCAAGGCCATTCAGTCCTTCACCATCGCAAACAGTAACCAACTCCGCGTTGCGCTCAACTGTGGGAGTGAGAGTTCAACGCCCAACCAAGAAGCGCTCAGCCGGTTCTTGAGCACTCTACCAAAGAACGTGTCAGTCCCAAAGACATCACAACAGAAGCAGTATCCTCGAAACGCAAAGTCATTCTTTCCCCTGCCTTACCAAGTCTACTACTCGGCTCGCGCTGTCCCCACAGTGCCCTACACCCACGCTTCTAGCGCCCCCCTCGAAATTCTCTCCAAGATGCTCACCTTCAAGCAACTGCATCCTGAGATTCGTGAGAAGGGTGGTGCCTATGGAGGTGGTGCCTACGCCCGCGGTCTCGGTGGTCTTTTCGGCATGTACTCATACCGCGACCCCAATCCGCAAAACAGCATGAAGATTATGGCTGAGGCCGGACAATGGGCGCGCGATCGCGCATGGACAGCTCAAGATCTCGAAGAAGCCAAGCTCAGCGCTTTCCAGGGTCACGACGCTCCACAGAGCGTCAGCCGCGAAGGTATGCGCGAGTTCCTCTCCGGCGTCACTGACGACATGCTGCAAACGCGGCGCGAGCGTCTCCTCGACGTCACAGCCGAGCAAGTACAAGCCGTCGCCGACGAATTCCTCGTCCAGCGCGCCCAAGAGAGCAGCATTGCTATTCTTGGTGAGCGAAAAGAATGGGTCAAAGAATCTGATGGCTGGCAGTTTAGAGACATGGGCATGTCGGATGCTGCCAAAGCAGCAGAAGAGGCAGAAGGTGTCCCGCAAAAGGACCATGGCGTTCCAGCCATCGCTAGCTAAAGCCTGGTCCATGGTTATTACGCCCTTTTTATGACGATTGTATAGTAAAAATGTAAGATTATGTGAAGATTAGAAACTAGCATTACTGGCGTTGCGTACCTGGGGGAGCAAGTAGAATGCATAGCGCTGGTTCTGAGTTCCCTTTTCTCAAAAACATTCTCCTCTTTTTTTTCTTTGCGTAATGTCGTTGTTCTCACTCGCACGGACCCCCAAATTCCCAAAGTTACTCCCCTTTCCTCACTTTTCTTCTCCTTCTTTCTCCACACAATATCACAGCGCAACGAACAGATTTTTCACAGACGACCATGCATTTTTTTTCTCTCGCTTCCATTGCTGGTCGGTTCTGTCTTTCTCCTCTCTCTCTCTCTCTCTTTCATATCTCGTATAGGAAAGGGGGGGAAGGGGGGGTGATGGAAATGCGCGAGAAAAATCTATCGGTTTCTAGTTTTCCGTATCTATCCAGTTCCCGTCACCTAGCCCTGGTGGAGGGGGACTCGGGAAGATTGGGGACGAAGAAGACCAGAGCACCTGCTTTCAGACCTACCTGATTTAAGAGCGAGATTCTTCTCCTGGTAGACTAAATGTGGGGGTACATTAATTATCATTTGATATCATTATGATTTGTTGTATACGCATAAACATATCCTACAATTCGATTTGATCCTGAACAGCAGCATCGCCACGCATTTCACTAGCCTTGATGACCAATCGGCGATAATCAAGCACAGCCTGCTCCAGCTCCTTGCGCTTCAGCGCTTCGTGGTCTGAATGCGCGACGAAGATGGAGCCAGGACCGTATAGATATCTCTTGTGGTCGCCGGAGAGATTCGGTACGTCGGTACCGTAATTCACGGTGATGGTTTCGAAGCCATCGACGTCGCAATCGATGTCTACAACGCCGTAGCCCTCGCTGCCCCAGCTGATTTCTAAATCGCCGCCTTGTTCTTGCGCCGCTGCTTTAACGCTTTGGAGCGCGTCGACGATTTGCTCACGAACGAGTTTGGGCGTGCTGGCCGCAAGTCGCGTCGCGATATTTGCAGCTGCAGTTTCGGCAACCACGTTTGCAGCGACACCGCCCTGGACGCGCCCGAAATTCATAGTCGTGTTCCCGTACTTTTCGCTCCAGGGGAGATGTTTTCGTAGCTTCAGCAGTTCACCTAGTGCCTCGACTAGGATATCGTTTGCGCTCACGCCTAACCACGGGTACCCCGAGTGCGCTGCTTTTCCTGTAGCCTTGACTTGGAAACCTAGCATGCCCTTGTGTCCGCAGACCAGCTTGCCTTCTGTCGGCTCCCCGAAGATGATGATTTCGTGTGACGACGGTCGTTTTGACCAGTCGCTGAATGCGCGCATGCCATCGCCGCCTGTTTCCTCGCCTACAACAAATAGCAGCGAAATGTCGTCGTACAACTGCTTTCGTATGCCTTCTGCAGCTATGATGATAGGCGCTACACTTCCCTTTGCATCGACGCTGCCGCGGCCCCCAATCTCACCGCTCGTCTCGTTGTAGTAGTAGGGCCAATAGGGCGGTACCACGTCGATGTGCGAGGTTAGGAGGATGGTGGTTTCGCGTTTGGAGCCGTAGGCAAGCAGGTTGTACCGGTCGGGTGAGACTTCTTGCCGCTCGACCGTCCAGTTGTGCGACTGTAGGTAGGAAGAGAGCCAGTCGCCGACTTTCTTTTCGTTGCCGCTTATCGACTCGACTTCTATGAGGTGGCGGTGGAGGGAGAGGAGTGACTCGGATTCGGAGGTTGTGAGGACTTGGAACTCTGAGGCGGACAGGAGCGTTGACGTGGCTTGGAATGGGGTGGTTGTGAGGGCGCTGAGCACTAGGCTGCAGAAAGGGAGGGTCCGGATAATCATTTTGGGTGGTGTGTGAGGCTGCTGGTGCCTCAATTGCGGGTTGTTGGTGGAGGTTGTGAGCTTGGTACTTCCGAGAGCTTAGTACTAGTAGCAGGCGATGACGATCGTGACGCTAAACCGCCTTATGGCATATCAGCCTTTCCACCGCCTTACTTGCAGTATAACATACTTACACAAGCACTTGAATGCCAACATCTTAACTTTTCGTTACTTTCTTGTGTATTGGTTCAACAAGTTTCATTCAATAGCTGGATAAGACTCATGATGACGATTTATCTCACGCCCATCGCCGGTCAATTGAACAAGCGCTTATGCGTTGTCGCAGCTAATGCTGCCATTACAAAGGTTTGCCGAATTCTTTTTTCCATTCTGAGCTCCACGAATACAGTTTTCTTTGGAAAAGTGATCACAAAACTACGTAGATAATTGGGCGTAACCGGTGAGGTATTCGTGAGCCTAAAAAAGAGAAGACTCGACAACAGCCTTGGGTTAGAAGCACGTGTGAAAGGTAAATTTCTCGTTCGCATTTCTATTCTAGACTGAATAGTTTTGTTGCGAGCTGCCCCTGATTTATATTCTGGTGGTTTTTATGTTGATGGAGTGTAAGAATGCTATTGTGCTGGCTTATAGGGTTACGAGCAGCCCGAGGCAAACTATTGTCAACTGAGCTCTGGTACAAGAGCCAGGTTCTATATACTGTAGGAAATAAAGCTAGTTTTAAGGTCTTCAATTGTCCTATCAAATTTCCCGCGTCTCGAAATCTTCCCTTCTGGTCTTCTGCTAACAACGACCAGAGGGTGAAGGCATCCCATTTCCTTTATAGTAAGACTCGTGATCCGATACTATCGACATCTGATCATTATCTTTGCTGAACTTTTGTAATTTGACAGTTTCCACATCGAGTATAACCACAGGATGGACAAGCGTTGCTCCTGTATGGTATGGAAACGCTACCACAATAGCACTACGTAACCGTCAGTATACATAACTAAGGGTATACGGCTCTGTACTTGCACATTGCCATACGAAGGTATGCTTCTTCTTTCCAGCCATTCGAATACGCGCTGGTGGGGACAGCGGTATTGGCAAACAAGACTGGGGCAAAGAGACTGCCCCCTCGGTACTAGTGGCGGAGGGATGATGGGATGCAGATTCGGGTGCCATGTCATAATAGTTGATTAAGCTTTTTTGACCCAAGACTCTAACAATACACGGCTTCTCTGATATCCGATGTGTGTGCGAGTAGCCGCAAGGTTGATATAAGCAACCACGAGAGCATTAATGTGAAGGTCGAACTGAAAACACGCGAATAGGTCGTAATTGAAACTTACGCTGTTAGCTTTGGTGAAGAGAAGGGCCTTATGATATTACCTCGGTGAGTAAATGGAATGATCAAATTGCTCCTAGACTTCCGTTCGTTTCGAAGTACATATGCAATGTCAAGGCAGTTTCACAGAAACTGCCAATTTGATTTTTGGTACAACAGGCCGATTTAAGTACATATCACATTCACTTTTGTTTCTTGTCGTCGATCTTTTTTACCCTTTTGCTTTTGCACATATCTTTTGTTTACCCTTTCTCTGATTCTAGAAGTTGAACTGATCATTGAATGATGATACAGCACTGTATTGGGGATTTAAATGGGCATGAAAAGGACTTGTTTGTCAGTGTTTATACTTTGTGCGATAGACTACATATTTTGTGATAGTAAGTCGCGCCTGTTCGATGCAGAAGTACCGACTCCTTAATTGTAAATACTTTTTCTTGTTAGCTTCGATCTATCGATTTGCATATCCTTGGTCTCCTGAAAAACGCATAGCAGATTTTGTTGGGGAATATCCCATCCATCGAACTTGGTACAAGCGCTGAGCAGATATTCGAGCTAGGACGATCGCCCCAATCAAAGAGATATGATGCAAATTGGGGTTCTTCCGACCCAATGGTTTCTAGTCATCGTAGGTACAATTGGAACGTGCGTAGATCTTTACTTACATGGGCCCTCACCCGACGGTTCGGATGCCTTCCTTCCGGTCGACGGGATTCGGTAAATCAGGTGTAGTAAAGTGCCTCTGTGCCGAAGCACCAGCGAAAAAAACGAAGAAGAATAAGCATAGTGAGAGGGAACGTAGCGGGGCTCATTTTGAAGAACAGAACGTCCTGCTCAGAGCTAAAGTACTAGAGTACCATGCAGATAGGGGTGGTGAATGGCAATAACTAGCATATGTTAGGATAGCTTGTGTGACCGTTATACTAATACGTGACTTAACTCATTGTCACACGTGTGCTACGACTCGTCTTGTTTGGCTCGCACACGCAGCTTCTGTGCTTCTCTCATCAGATTTGTGAATCCCATTTTAGAGAACACATGTTTCTTCGTTTAGTTTGTGCATATGCTCGTTCAGCTGGTGGGTAGCTAGGTGGTATGCATTGCTCTCCTGACTGGGTCGCTCGCCTTTTATGATCAAGTGGTTGCTTTCGAATTTGAGAATGCGCTCCAAATAACATGATAATTATTGGAGAAGGAATACCCTATTCGGGATGCCCTTCCACATGCATGCGTTGCGAAGCGCTTGAAAGAGTCATCAAGTGAACACAGTCTAGTCAAGAGATCCGCGAGTTTCTCAAATGACTCGGCAATGCTATTCTCTAGAGAGGAACAGTCGCTGACATCTGAGAAGTAGCATATATCCCCGTCTAGTTTGATGAAGCGACTGTAAGCTCGAAGCGTGGCTGAGAGCGTGTCGCGCAGTTGGCACAGAAGCTGCATTGTTTGGAGAGTTTTGTCCAAGGACTTTTAGATACCATCAACAAGGACAGTGTGTTGAGTGGTACTACTGATACAAGGTTCTTGTGATTTCTATAGCACCTTAATCGTGGACGAATCAATGTGCAGAAAAGAGAAAATACCCATGCTTCTACGCCCTCTTCAACTGTTCTTACGAGATATAGCCATTCTTGCAACACGTACTGACTACAATGCGCTACCAAACGCAACCAGTATCTTCTTACTTCCCAAAATTTCACAGATTGTGGAGGAGTAGCAAAGTCGAATCCATACTCGGAGATTAGGAAATGTCTCTTGAGCTCGTCAATATCTTCGGTATCTAATTCGTCTTTGTCAGCCTGATTGAAAACATACCCTGTCCACTGCGTGTTGCTCCAACCACCAATTACTAGAGTAATATGTCCCCAATACATTGAGTGGGGAACTATGTGCCCATCGGCATCAGCTAATTCGAGAAATGAGAGATCAACTACTGAGTCATCAGTAACCGGGCGTCCATTCTGATATGGTGGCTTTAGACGTATATGTATCATGCAAAATTCTAGTCGATATATCTTGAAATCTGATATCTATTGCTTTTGAGCTATCGCCGGTGCATTTCTTAAGCTAAAGGCAACATATACCTCCATGCGTACGCACATATACGTTTCCCAAGTAAGATGCATTCATATTGAATCATCCAACGCCTTCATTTGGTGATGCCAACCTGTTTTAGCCAGAACAGAGACAAATCTAGGGGTCAGTTTGGAATTGTAGCTATCATGTTGTCAGCTCAAATACGTTAACATTTTGATGGTGGATAAAAGTCACGGCTTACATCATGCACTGATCGACATCTTGGAGGGTCGAATGACCGAAGCGCTGCCTTCTGTTAGATTCGTTGTGGCAAAGGGTAATGCCCAACGAACTGGCTGCTCCAATATGCCACTTAGTAGTTCTTTAGCATCGAAGCTTCCTTGGTAATCTCGACTGTGCCCAGCGCAAATCTCTCAGTCATCCATCCATGCCCATGCTTCTTCGTCCTGCCTGGATAATTGCTTTGATGAGTCCTCCTCAATTATACTATTTTTTTGAGGAGGATTCTGATCTATGGCAGTGTTGGCTTCGGCCTCATGCTAATCACGCAGCTAGCCGATCAACACAGCAACATCGAGCACCAAAGCCGTGCCCTGTTTGCCCCGGAGTCAACCTTAAGCATGTATTTATGAGGCGCAGTCTTTAGAAACTTTACCAATCCTGGGTGCAATTCTTAAATAGAAGTAGGGTATTTTGCGAGTGTTGTATATTGTAAATTTTGGCACATAAAAAGAGATGCCCCTGACTTAATGTATTCTTAGTGCGACGAAGATTTCATCTGGATGATAAATCCTTTCCGAAGTACAGCGGGATATTCTGTGCTACAAGATAACGAGATCGATCACGTGACATCATGAATAGTGGTTTTGGTGGACAATATCAAAGACCAGGTTAATAGTTGAGACATATCAAAGCACCCTTGGAGCTCCCACCTGGTAGCGGCTAATGAGACACTAAGGCAATATGTAGTCGGTCAAAGACCTTTCTGAATAGCTCAGCCTCAATCGGGAGTAAGAAATGGAATGCCTTATCCGGCGTACCAGCCTCGTGACCCTGGAATTCGTCTACGCACACAGAGCCAAGAACCAGGCTACGTACAATGTTTCTCGAACGTCAGCCTCACTGCGACTCACCTTTGTGCTCGATCAGGTTAAATGGTTTTGGGGATTAGTGGCAGTCATCTCTACTTCGCTCTTTCTACTATTACCTGTATAATAACTTCACCTTTCCAGCCAACTTTTCACTTGCTGAATCCACTACTGAAATAAAAAAAATCCAATCCAGATGCAGTCACAGATTGCCGAATGATCACATATACCATGCGCCATATCATGCGCTGGCATTCTGATGTTCTTGGGAAGTCCTTTCCCGTTCAATAATTTGCCTTGTGCTAAGAAAACACCAGAAACCGGGGTTCTGGTAGGTCTCTATGCCCGACATTTGCCTCTTCATCATGCATTGGGCAGCTATGCTCCAAGATGCTCGCCCCATCTCAGCCTGGCGAATTGTATATTCGTGAGTGTGGTCGTGCACGGACGCTTTTAAAGATACGTGGTACAGAAGAAAAGCCTCCTGCAACAGACCTCGTGATGCAGGCAGTCGCATCGCACGTATTGCCCAGCAACTCACATCCTCAGACGTGGTTTTTGTACAGCCTTATGAATCCTAATTCCAGCTGTGATATGGACACACCGATCAGCGTACGAATATCCGACACCGGCAGGTTTGAGTTGGTGTATCGTAGTGTAACAGATCTCAATTGGCTTCGCTGGTGGCTTCCAGATCGATGAGGCAGATTTTGCCCTTCTCTGGTTCTACCATATACAGTATCGGGATGACTGTGTCACAGTCAATTTGTCTTCGCCTTCTTATGAAACGGGGTCGTATCCCAAAAGCCCATGAGTTGGCACTACGAACTAGTTTCTTTACTGAACACTCTAGCATGACCTTGTTGTTGGTTACAAATGCCTTCAAAACCCAACGCCAAGCATCTTTATGACTGTTCGCCTCGGATATCGGATCATGAAGACTCTGGCAAAAGTTGGGACCAAGTTTTTCTTCAAAAAAATCGTAAACAGCATGACCGCCCATTCCAGGAATGCCTACAACAAGAAGGCGTAGAACGAGATCTCGTCGATGCATTTTTACAATACACCGACAGCTCTGTACCATCAAGAGGAGTTCAACAAGCAAAGACAGTACTCAACCAGATTGCAAACAATAAAGCCAAGTCGCTGAATCCTCGGCGAGCTTGGGTCGACTCTCGCATGAAAGTTTCAGGTCGACAAAGCTCTCCTCGATGGCTAACACCAGGTGAACTGGAAGACTTCATCAAGGAGCGCGTAAGTTATGCACTGGGGATATTTAAAGACATACAGAGTGATGCTAACTACTCACTAGTCTACAAATGCTCTCTCTGAAACAGACGCGATTCGTCGTTTGATGTAAGCTGAGATTAACTTGTCCTTTGAGTCGTAGTTCTGACATGTCAATATAACCCCAAAAACCATGCTTATTAACAATATGCCTTAGATTTATCCAGGGACTGGATCGGAGTTTCGTTCGTGGGATCGCACGGTCCTCATCTTGGAATGAAGTTTCGGCCTTGAGACTCGCAATACGCAGCCACCTTGCACGTGAAGCTTGTATCAAGGTGCGTATACCGGTATGTTGCCCACTCATTGCCTTATCCACAACGCCAATAACTTCATAGTACACTGGCTTCACTACTTTTCATCTTGAATTCAGTCTACCGTACTTAGTTTTGGAAGAACAAGACCGTTCGAAAGCTCTACCAATCGAGAATGCGAGCGCAGCTGAACTACTGAAAACAAACCTCTCCTTTCTCAGTATTGGGTCGCGAAAAGATGGGCACGCCGCTCAATTCTCTATCTGGAAAGTACATGAAACTGTGCTCATTTCTGGTTGTGATAGCTCGGAATGGACTGGTTATGCTTTCTCATCCTTCAAGTCTTCAGCTGAGAACATAAAGGAAGAGGATGACAACGATGTGAATGAAGACGAAGATTCTAATGAAGAAATTCCAGAAGAAGATCTTTTTGCTACAGGTGGCACGGATTACGATGACCATCAGGTGCTTGATGCTAGGACGCCGATATGGGACCCCAGAGTGTACTTTCTAACCGTCTTCGCTATCCGAATGCGGATAATCTACGAGAGGTACGAGTTTCTTGCCAGTACCCTTAGATCAGGGGTCGAAAACTGGGTGAGTGCTTCAAGACAGACTTACAACAGTGAATCTCTTAACCATGTCACGACAGATTTCGCATTCGATATACACCCCGTGGAATTCATTGCAAACGCCGAGCTCTGGCACTGAAATTAAAATTCTGAATGATAATATCAAACAGATTGGGCTAGTGTTACATGAGTTGAGTACATGTTTGTCGGATACTATAGCTGTATGGGAAAGATTCCATAGTGTTGATGGAGATGTTCAATATTTCTCTGACATCAAGGACCGGAAGGCAAGACTTGCCCTCAAAAAGACCAGAGAGAGCTTCCAGAATCTGAAATTCGAGCTGCGTCGGTTGAAACTTTTGAAGAGGGCCCTAAAAGATGCTACCGTGACCGTACGTTCACAATATCACTGCCAGTGAACACATCTAACTAGCTGAATAGCTTCGGATGGACCTGATGGACCAGCTCAGTGTATCTGTCAAGGAAAACTTGAGACATAGTATGGATCTCAGCAAGCATAGTAGACTCAGTCAGAAGTTTGTTGAAGAGAATATCAAAATCGCAAGGGCGAATGTACCGGTAGGCTCTTACGGATCTCGCTCAAACGACATCGTTGACATCAACAGCTGGCCCAAGTAACGGCCTCAATTGCCGTCGCTCTGCAATACTTCTGTAGCGAGCGCAACTTCCTTTCAATTGACCGCAGCCCGAAGGCATTCGTACTATCTATTCCCATAGTACTGGTCCTCCTGTCGTTCGTGGCACCTTGCGTTCAAATGTTGCAATTGATACTGAGCACATTACCTGCATTGCTCNCAAAGACTTCAACCTTTGAAAGGATCACAGAAAGTTCAGTATTCAAAACAGTCGACAGATGGATGAGTTGCCTGTATCATGAAGTCGACGAAGTTGGTAAGTTATAACATCTCGGCACGTCATCCATGCTACTTTTTCTATGCAGAAAACAACGTTTGAGAAAAAACGACCATATCGGTTACAAAATGTCAACTAATAGCTCTAGAACTTTGCGACATGGAACGCTATGATCACCCAGTGCCTGCAGTGGGATCCTGTTCTTGTGGCCACCAATGCGCTTGACCATTTGGTTAATTTTAAGTATCGTTGATCAAGTTTGTGGTCATGTGTTAGTAAGAGGAGAGTCTCCCTTCTATGGTGTGGATCCACAAGTTGGTATTGTCATCTTTCCCACTCATATAGTCTTGATGTGCACCGATGCAAATAGATGAGCTACGTACATGTTTTGAATATCTTTGGATTTACAAGAAGTATATCCTTATCATATAGAAATATAAACCGATCGTCTCTAGTGCTGTTTTAGTGTTTCGATTGTTGTTATAGACGCAGCAAATATAAGGTTAAGTATGCTTTCTGGGTCAAAATATACCCCGCAGTTCAAAGACTAACGATAAAGTAGAGATGGGGCTTAATGGATTACTTAGCCTGCTCTTACGTAGGTGCTGTTCTATCCTCGTGGATGGGAGTGGGGGTTTAGAGGGGCATTGGTATGCCCCTCCTTTGTGCAACCAAGAAGACATAGTTCCTCACACTCATCCTGCATCCACCATACCTCTCGCCTGGTTCAACAGGGGAGTATACCATCTATAAAACTTAATACAATCTCGTAGATATGTTGATCTGCGTTCCAGACTGCGAAAGTATGATCTGAGACTCACCCAAATGTAGCGTGGGATAGGTGTAACAAATCGTTATCAGTGAGGGCAACCCCCATATTGCAGCCCAATCAATATATCACAAGACACACTTCTGTCATCATAGTGGGTTGACCGTTTGACAATTCTTTCAGCCCTTATTAAATTGCTCTTCTGATTGACTAGTTTACAGCTCGATATCAGTTCGGATGCTGAAGCGGTTTACTCGTAGGCAAAATCACTGAATTCATATGATTTCAATGAGTTGTATCTACATATGTACTTTTGATATTCTCATTATATGAGGTAACTCACATTCTGAAAGGAACAGTACAACGCAACACTCGAACTCCAGACATGGAAGTTCGTTAGCTAGTGCAATCAGCTCTCCATTGCCCAACGAGTGCAACCACCAACAGGATACACGACAATGTGCATATAAGCAGTACCGCCAATCCCAAGTGAACACGATAGTTAGCAGATTTGCAACAACGTGGCAAGCACGATCCTTCAAGGCTGAAGCTCGGCATCTGTGAAGACAGTCGTTACCACCCCTGCGAGAGGGAAAAAGGCAAAGACAATGCGTTCAATGATATAGTCAATACCTTATCACTACGTTTGTTTTGGATTTCTCTTGTGTCGTTGAATACGTAAACCCTACAGTTAGATTTGTTATCGTCACGAGGCTGAACACCAAACATGGCCAGTCTATCGACGCTCAGCCTTGCCGGTTTAGAGCAGTGGCTCGATCACATTTCAATCTCAGAAATAGACACTGGCATCAATGAAGCCAACCCTCTCTTTAACCCTCTTGATATCTGCCGTTCGTCCCTGGCTCATGCCCTTTCCGACCTTGTGACGGGTGACGTTCAAGACGCATTCAAGTCTATACAGTGGCCGAATAATATATTCAATGGGGATCTTTCCGTCACTATTCCAAGATTGCGGCCGGGAAGCAAGCCAGATGAGTTATCAGCGGAGTTGGTGAACAAAGTCAGTTCACTTTCATGTGTTGAGAGCTTCAAAACCAACGCAGTCATAGTTCCCGAAAGACCATGGTCTCTTCGACCCTCCTCTTCTTGATGGAGTACATCTGCGATTCTTTCTCAAGCTCGATGCTGTACCACGCCTTCTATTACCATACATCTCGGACAGAAAGAACACATACGGCAGCTTTTTGACCAAGGAACATGTGCGCCAGAAACTCGTAGTTGAGTTTTCATCCCCAAACATTACAAGCGAGTTCCAGGGGAAACATCTTCGCAGTACAATTATTGGCGCTTTCGTCAGCCAACTGTACGAATCAATGGGATGGGATGTCGCGCGCATCAACTACCTCGGTGATTGGGGTAAGCCCATTGCTTTGCTGTATGTCGGATGGGTAAGGTATGGTTCAGAAGAGGCATACGAAGCGGATCCCGTTGGCCATCTCCTGACAATATATCACATGATTGAGGAGGATTTCAAGCCAGAGCAAGCAGCAAGCAAGCAGGCGCGTGATGAAGTAGCCAAAGAAGGGGAGGACAAAGGAGAGGCCCAAGTTGAGATTGAAAGCAAGGGCATCTTTGCCGAACGGAATGAAGCTTTCAGGAAGCTTGAAGACGGCGACGAAGCACTGGTGGCGTTTTGGAAACGCGTTAGGAACGTCAATATCGACAACTATACCGAGTTCTACGAACGACTCGGTATTTGCTTTGATGAGTACACTGGGGAGTCCCAGATCGGCCAAGACACCATGATCGAGGTCGAGCAGATGTTGAAAGACAAGAACATCTCAGAAGAAAGTGGAGGAGCTTGGATCGTTCACATGCAGAAACTAGGCGTGAAATCTGGAACTGCCATTATTCGCGACCGTACTGGAGCTAGCACGTATCTTCTTCGCGACCTTGCTGCAGTACTGGAGAGGTCAAGGAACTACTCGTTCGATAAGATGATTTACGTCGTGGCCAGTGATAACAGTGTCCACTTCGGACAACTCATCAAGATTTTGGAAGCCCTGGACTTGAAAGATCTTGCCAGCAAGCTACACCATGTCAAATTCAGCGAAACTTCGAGGATGGCAGCAGCACTAGGCAAGGGCTACAAGCCTCAGGGCATACTGGATGCATGCGAGGAAGCAATGAAGGCCTTGCCTGGATCAGACTCAAAAAAGCTTGCTTTGATGGGTGAACTCGATAAAGCCAAAGAGGGTTTAGCAACATCCGCACTTCTCATTCAAGAGCTTTCCACCCGCCTAGCCACTGCCCACGCCTTCGACACCAGCACAATGGTATCTTTCAAACTCGGCTCAGGACCAGACCTCCAGTACTGGCTGACGCGACTCCATCTCCTCCTCAAAAACGTCGGTTCTGCAGCTGAGCCTTCAGCTGAAGACTACGAAGTATTGGAAGAAGAAGATCGAGCAAACCTTCTGCGTATCCTGGCTCAGTACCCAGAAGTCGTCAAGGCAACATATAGCTCACTTGAGCCGGCCGGCATCGTCACGTATCTCGCTAGTGTGACCGAGCAACTGGCCGAATGCCTTGCAGGGGATAGTGAGACTGAGGAAGCCGACGGGGAGGATGAAGGTATCACTCCAGGACTTGCTGCGCTATACAACGCCACTGCGATTGTTCTAGAAAACGGAATGAAGCTGCTGGGCATAGTTCCAGTAGCCGCTTTGTTCTCGCCAGAGAGAGCGGATACGCCGGTGATGGGGTAGGAGGGACGAGAAGTTGGTAATTCTTGACACACGTTTTTTCTTCCGTCTGTTCGTTTCCTGCAGTGTACAAAGTTGGTGGATACCTGAAATATTCTCGTCCAGACTCTTCTCATTACTCTATTAAATAGTTTGCTGTATATTGGCAAAATAACTAAATTGAGCAATCCATGATGATGTTGGTATTGTTGCTCCGTTGCGCGCGCAGTAAAGTCACACTGAGAAGCACAAAAGTATTCGCATTGTGTTATCGATGCAAGGCTGGCAACCCCGCTTTTGAGGAGCGCAAAGATGGAATATTAGCTCCACTCGATATTCTGAGCGCAGCAGAATTACTTTTCTGCATACATATATCTTTTTATCAACTCCACATCTTTCCATCAAAATCCGATATGGTCTAGTGGCTAGGATTTGCCGCTCTCATTGCAGAGTCAGTACACTGTTCAGTGCCGGCAAGGCCCGGGTTCGATTCCCGGTGTCGGAATTTTGCTTTTTTTGCAGTTTTGACATGACTGGGTCATGTCGAAAATCTTTCTTTTTATGTGTGATGATGATGAAGGTAGCGCGGACACTGTAAGCGAGGGCCGATCTCGGACTAGTGGGTGAGTATCCTTCCGACGGTGGGCTCAGCTTATTGCAGTCAATACACGATGCATACAATTTGATTTTTTCCGTGTGACTGTTCTTTTTATTCCATTGTGCAAATGGCATGAGTCGAATCTGTTTCATTCTGAGACCTCCCTATCTGCATTACATAACATAATTACAGCAGCAGCAGCATGGGACGTAATTTCAGAGCAAAACCCCCACGAACCACTGTTCTGCTCTTTTTTTGGACTTCTTGCAATGGTTGGTGAGGTATGATTTTTTAGTCTCGTGTTAAAAGAGTGCGAGTTGCTTCGACCAATAGAATGGACAGCACACCAACTGCGCGAGCTGCCGAATTTCTGCGCTCTGGCGTAGTAGTGGTCCTGCATTTGTGGTAGTAGGATGAAGGGGTTAGTAGCGAGTTCAATGAGCTACGATCTACTTTGGTAGGGACAGCAAGGTAAAATGAGCTGTGGTTTTACTGAATTTTCAAATAAGGCCAGATAAATGGAAGAAAACAATGCGTGGTTGCATTGTGTTATTACAGGCGTACAGCAACAGTGCGTGCTGCCTTCACCTGGCTCACCGCAACGAGCCAATAGATAGGCGGCAATCTCGGGGCACTGTATCACTTAGTATCTTACCTTCACCTGCTGGCATCAAGTTTCCAGGCACTATATATCTATTGAACGACTTCTCTTCCATCCTCATTTCCTCAACTCCCAAACCAAAAGCACCACAGCCCTCGCCACCAACCAACCCACTAACCCAACCATGCCCCGCAAACGCTCCTACTTCGACGGTCCTGGCCGCATACTCGGCACTGGAGAACTCGTCGAGCCAAAACGCAACGTGAGAAAGGTACAACGATGCCATCGCAGATAAACAGATGAGAAACAAAAACTAACAAAAGGCTAGGTGCGCGACGCGGAGTACATCCCACCGAAAGACACCGAGTCCAATACGGAGAATGGAAACCATGTAGGCGACGTCAAAGGCCGTACCGAGGACGGGGAATGGACGCCTAAGGGAAAGAAGATGAAGACGAATCAAGGCGAGACCAAGAGAGACAAAATCGACAAATCGGCGAACAAAGATGCTGGCGATGAGAAGGAGCAGTGTATTTTGAAGGAGCCGAACGATAACGATGCCGCGTTTGCGGAGGGCCAGGACGGAGGAGAACGTCACGAGTGCAGCTGCTCTATTTGCAAGAAGTGCAGGGGTGAGAAGGAGGACTAACAGTAGTTGAGTGAGCACTTGGGAAGAAGGCATATGAGGAAAGCTAAGGGGAAAAGGTGGATGAGGAGTGATATGGCCGATGTTTTTTTGGCATGTTTATGGGGGTTGAGATAGTTTGAGAAAGAGACGAGTATGGCTACTCTGGATTGAACTGGAAATTGGGACTGGTACTTGGGGGTTATCTGTGCATCATGGGAATGGTTGGGTTCCAGGACTTTGATCATGCTGACTCCTCTTATCCTGGTGTGTTCTTTTTTTTCCGAGGCTGGGGAGCCCACATGAATGCGTGGTATCAGTGAGATTTCCTTTCTCGTGTTTTGAAATCCTAGCTACTATAGTTTTGATAATCGGACCAAAGATGGCGGTCTCACCATTTTTTGCTCTCTTCGTGTAGTCTTTGAAAACCTCGGACACGGGATCACCGTGTCCATTGCTAGATGCGCGAAAATTTGGCAGGTTTCGCAGACCCAGCTCTTGGAGAGATAAGCTCACTGCAAATGGAGACGATCGGCAATGTCAAGTGTTTCGTCTTGGTCAGTTTTGACATAGTATCCTTTTTCAAGTCGGCGTTACTGCGGCTTTCAAAACTTGCAGTTCCGATGATTTTCAGAGGATGGCCCGTATCCTTCGTTCGAAGACCTTGAATTCCTTGACTTTTTTGTGTATTGAAAACTTCATCTTTGTGCATGGGTATCGATTCTGTTTGGGGTGTTGAGGAGGAGGAGGGCTTGCGAAAGGTAACCTGTAAAAAAGTGAGTAAAGGCGTGAGGTACATACAGTGCGTTCACCTGGAGAGAGTAAGAAAAGTGGAATCAATGCTAAAGCATCAAAGTCCAAAACAGCCAAAAACCTAACTGCGAATCGTTGCTTCAACCACACGCACGGTCCGGTCGTCTACTTTGATTGGCCAGACCGAAGGCCAGGCCAGATGTCATAGCGTACGGAAGGTATCATCCGAACGGTAATGTATTTACACCAGAATATACTTTCTCACCAACCATTTGTATTGATTTAAGGCGAGTTGAACAAAGTCATTGAGCTGAACCTTTCCCAGATCTTGAACGCGGGGACGAGGGTGATGGGTTCAGATGGAACGAAGCTTATGAGAGGCAGGATACATCACAGAGTGATGCAGAACCGGTTACCATTTGAACGAAAATTATTTATAAAATCCACGGAGAGCAAATTTAACATGTTATTAAGATTGTTGAGTAACGCGACAATAAGGAATCGGTCAAGCTGATAAAGCGGAAGGCGAGGCTGTAGATAAAGAGGATTGTAAAAGAGAGCATGTGCTTCTATTGCCTGTCGTGGCGCTATTTCTGGACGAGAAAACCCTGTTCGGTATGCAGGCCAAGTAGACTAAGCCTATTGCTCTCATGAAGCTAGCTAGGGGATTGTGCAGCATATTCAGCGTTGCTGGAGGCATGGTCTTTTGCATTTCCAGGGTCGAGCCTTTTTCACCTCTGTCTAAGCACAGCGAACTAGCTGAATATTCTAATCAAGCGTTTGTCTGTAGATTTGGTAAAGTAGCCACCGCCTCAGAGGTCGTGGCAAATGACGAACGACAGGACATGGCGGCCGTCAAAACAGATGGTGCTACAGCATCTGCTAACAGGCTTAGTAGGTTGACGAGCGCATTTGTGGCAGACCAAGACGATTTCGTGATAAATAGGACTAAGACGACGTTGGAGTAAAGTGTTCCGGTGTTGGTGACGGCTGACCGGGGCTATCCTTACACAAAGACCCTGGTTAGGCAGGAAGTGGTCGATGCTGCAGCCGGAGACCTCGCCTCAGAGGAGCTAAGATTGGAGCGGTCGGCTAAGGTGGCCCTGTCCAAGCTCCACGTCAGTGGGGGACAACCACCGCGTGCGTTGCAAAAGAGTAATTGGACTGCATGCACAACGGCTTTGCTACCGGTGAGTGCAGATTGGGAACTGTGTTAGACGGGATTAAGCCATTGACTGCCAGCGCTGCACGCATGATGAAAAGCATAACAGACATTGCAGACAGTTTTGAGGAAGAAGATGGGACCGAGGCGAAATGGGGCACCTAGTATAGTGTGAACGTTGTGGGCGGATAAAGCTTTAAGGGACCAACTGGACTCGGCCTTGTGCAAGCGTAGCATTAGGCACAAAACCGTGTACTCAAGAGTTTGCAGTTGATGATGCAACGATCTTTGTTTGGTGAGTGCTTGAACCTAATGCGAAGATAAACGGCGACGAAGATGGCTGTCAGTCTTGTACTGGTGCACGTAGTTGCATGGCAGCTGCAAGGGTCTGAAACCTGAAAATGTCAAACTAGATGTAGACAGCTGCATCCAACATGACAAGGCAAAGCTGCAAGAGTACAAGCTATGCGGGGAGACTCGATGCGGTTGCCAGTGGTTTCTGGGGAGGGTAGTAGTGGTGGTCTCGAACTCATGTCGTTGGCCTCACTACTAGGCGTAGCTACCTTAGTCCTACCCCGCTAAGAACAGGGTTATGCCGGTTCCCCCACTGAGTAGTAGCAACAACATAACTATGTAGCAGGTGGTGCTTACGTGAAACCTTTGTAGCCACCCACCGCAATATATTTGTACACCGCCTGTGCAAAATGACCAAAGCGGGTGTAAACAGTGCCGAGCAGTATCAGTAGTGGTGATGTCGACTCGTGATGGCTGTCCCGCTACGGCGAGCTTTGTCAGGGCGTATTGGCAAGCGCCTTGGTTTGCATGTGGAAGCCTCGCAGGGGGGGGTCAGACTGGTCGTTGGTGGGTGAATTGAAGAGATAAGGTTGTTTCAAACCGAGTAGTCTTGGTCAGGGCCTATGCCAAGCTTTGTCACCTGCATCTCTAACCACAACCCCACTCTTTCACCTCATGGAGCGTGAGTAGCCATGTTGAGCACCCTCGTCGCTTGCAGCAGCGGTTTCCGCGCCTTGGCCGGGGGCTCTGGAGCTCCGCAGCTGCATGGGGCGAGCATCTCTCTCGACGGATTAAGGTTCCATGGATCTGATTTGGAAACTCTAACCTCATCACCAAGTCGGCTTGGCGGGCATGTCTGATACAGCCGCGGCAGGGCCCGCTTTCAAATGCCCATTGTCCGCGAACGAGACAGGCTCAGCCGCGGCAGCGGGCCAGCCAAAGAGGCAGACATGTAGGTAGGCCGAAGAAAAGCGCTTTGTGCTCGGTGATGGGATGGGATTTATCCGCGGGGCCGAACTTGGTCCGAACATGGCCAGCGGCGGGGAGGGAGAGGTAGGTAATGGATAGAGCAAATCGAGCAGAGCTCCATGGCCCTCGTAGGCTCGCAGCGGGCGGGGTGGCGAGAGCGGTGAAGGGGGCGCCGAGCCAATGCGGGCAACGAACTGAGGCTGGCGGCGTGGGGAGGATGGGGGAGCAGTAGGCCAGAGAGGTTTCCGGTGTGTTTGGCGGGCGGATACCATGGGCGGCGTACGCAATCCTCTCTCGAAACCATCTTGCGTCGGCTACGGTGCCCCTCCATGACTAGCCAGAGCTCTCCCATGCCCACCCCCCGCGCCCGGTGAAGCTCTGGCCGTGGCGTGGCATGCACCTAGCCCGTGCTTGCTTCTGACGCCGCCGACGGAGACTCTGGCAACCTTGGGCCACCACGCCTCCATCTGCCTTGGCTCTCTGCATCTGTTTCGGGATTAAACTTGCGTCCTGGGCTCCAGTCACTCGAAGCAGCCACAGCTCCAGCAACTGCGCCAGGCCCTGCCTCTCCGATAGGCGCTGCCATCAATAAATTGGCCCTCCGCCTGCTCTCTTGCACCCCTCTCAGACCTCTCCTTCCCCTCCCTCCCTCACCCCTCCCCTCGTCTCCCTCACCCCCCTCCTCACCCCCTCCAATTCCACCCCACATAGCCGTCTGTCACAATGTCGGGCCTCGCAATGGATCCGGCCAGCTCGTCGGCCATTGACGACAACGACTTTGACGAGGACCATGGCGAGCACCACCCCCACAGAAACTCGGTGCACCACAAGCTGCGTGCCAGCAGCTCCATCATGCAGCTCAAGAAGCTGTTGGGTACGTCTGCGGGATCCAATGGCACGTAATCCGCCCCGGGGCGCCTCTAACACATGTCTGCCAGTGGCCAACCGAGGAGAGATCCCCATCCGCATTTTCCGCACAGCCCACGAGCTGTCGCTGCACACAGTGGCTGTCTACAGTCATGAGGACCGCCTCAGCATGCACAGGCAAAAGGCCGACGAGGCCTACGAGATTGGCGCGCGGGGCCAGTACACGCCTGTCGGCGCCTACCTGGCCGGCGACGAGATCATCAAGATTGCCGTCGAGCACAATGTCAACATGATTCACCCGGGCTATGGTTTCTTGTCGGAAAATGCAGAGTTTGCCCGCAACGTGGAAAAGGCCGGCCTCATTGTGAGTCTTTGACCGTTTTGTTTACGCTATGACGAAAGCGCGTGGAGGGGCAGCCACATGCCTAGAGTATTGCCCGCACTTCAGCCTATCGCCCTTGGCGGGGCCGATCGCCCACCTGCCCGGCGCCGATCCTCGCGGACGGCACGCCTCAACACCACCACGGTCTTTTTGTTTGATCCTTGTACATGCAATACACCCACGTCCAGCATGCGCTAACTCTATTTGCTTATTTAGTTTGTTGGCCCCTCTCCCGATACCATTGACGCCCTCGGCGACAAGGTCTCCGCCCGAAAGCTCGCCGTCAAGTGCAACGTCCCCGTTGTACCGGGAACCCCTGGCCCTGTCGACAAGTTCGAAGACGCCAAGGCCTTTACCGATGAGTATGGTTTCCCCATCATCATCAAGGCCGCCTTTGGCGGTGGTGGCCGTGGTATGCGTGTAGTGCGTGAGCAGTCAACTCTCAAGGATAACTTTGAGCGTGCCACATCAGAAGCCAAGTCGGCTTTCGGCAACGGAACCGTTTTCATCGAGCGATTCCTCGACAAGCCCAAGCACATTGAAGTCCAGCTCCTGGGTGACAACCAGGGTAATGTCGTCCATCTGTACGAGCGTGACTGCAGTGTCCAGCGTCGTCACCAAAAGGTCGTTGAGATTGCTCCGGCCAAGGATCTCCCGGTTGAGACTCGTGATGCCATTCTTGCCGACGCTGTCAGGCTGGCGCAGAGCGTCAAGTACAGGAACGCGGGTACTGCTGAATTCCTGGTTGATCAGCAGAATCGCTACTACTTTATCGAGTATGTATGCCAAACATGTACATGTCGTACTAGCGCTAACACTTGTCCAGAATCAACCCCCGTATTCAGGTTGAGCACACCATTACTGAAGAAGTCACTGGCATCGATATTGTTGCCGCACAGATCCAGATTGCCGCAGGCGCTTCCCTTGAGCAGCTTGGTCTGACTCAAGATCACATCTCTACTCGTGGTTTTGCCTTCCAATGCCGTATCACCACCGAAGATCCTGCTCAGAGCTTCGCGCCTGACACCGGAAAGATCGAGGTATACCGTTCCGCTGGTGGAAATGGTGTCCGGTACGTCGATAGCTATAAGCCTCAGATGTTTAGACAAAATACTGACATTTGCCTAGTCTCGACGGTGGTAACGGTTTCGCAGGAGCCATCATCACTCGTAAGTACACATCCACCTGGATAACCAAACCTAAGCTGACCATTTTGAAGCACACTATGATTCCATGTTGGTCAAGTGCTCCTGCCGTGGTTCGACCTACGAAATTGTGCGCCGTAAGATGCTGCGTGCACTGGTCGAGTTCCGTATCCGTGGAGTCAAGACCAATATTCCTTTCTTGATCAAGCTTCTCACACACCCTACCTTCGTGGATGGTCAGTGCTGGACCACTTTCATCGACGATACCCCGGCTCTATTCGATCTTATTGGATCCCAGAACCGTGCTCAGAAGCTGCTTGCATATCTCGGTGACCTGGCTGTCAACGGCAGCCAGATCAAGGGACAGATTGGCGAGCCCAAATTCAAGGGTGTTGTCCCCATTCCCGCCATCCACGACCACACTGGCAAGAAGGTTGATACTTCTGCTCCTTGCACCGAAGGTTGGAGGAACGTCATCTTGAAGGATGGTCCCGAGGGCTTTGCAAAGGCTGTGCGTGCCAACAAGGGCTGTCTCATCATGGACACCACCTGGCGTGATGCCCACCAGTCGCTTCTCGCGACTCGTGTCCGAACAGTTGACCTCCTCAACATTGCCAAGGAGACTAGCCATGCTTTCTCCAATGCCTGGGCTCTCGAGTGCTGGGGTGGTGCTACCTTTGACGTTGCCATGCGTTTCCTTTACGAGGACCCATGGGACCGCCTGAGGAAGATGAGGAAGCTTGTGCCCAACATTCCCTTCCAGATGCTTCTTCGTGGCGCCAACGGTGTTGCATACTCTTCCCTGCCCGACAACGCCATCTACCACTTCTGTGAGCAAGCCAAGAAGAACGGTGTCGACATCTTCCGTGTCTTTGACGCGCTGAACGATGTTGAGCAGCTCGAGGTTGGTGTCAAGGCTGTTCTCAAGGCTGGCGGTGTTGCCGAAGCGACAGTCTGCATCAGTGGTGACAGTGAGTGCCCATATTGTCAAAATAAATCGGACCCTGCTAACTCTGCATTTCAGTGTTGAACCCCAAGAAGAAGTACAACTTGGAGTACTACTTGGACGTCGTTGAGAAGACTGTCAAGATGGGCGCCCACATTCTTGGCATCAAGGACAGTAAGTCATATCTATTTACCGACTGTGAAACACGTACTAATTCGCATGTCAACAGTGGCTGGTGTGCTCAAACCTCGCGCTGCTCGCCTCTTGGTTGGTACTATCCGCAAGAAGTACCCAGACCTTCCTATCCATGTCCACACTCACGACTCTGCTGGTACTGGTGTGGCATCTATGGTTGCTTGCGCCGAGGCTGGTGCTGACGCCGTTGATGCCGCCATTGACAGCATGTCTGGTATGACTTCCCAGCCCAGCGTTGGAGCCATCCTTGCATCTCTCGAGGGCACCGACTTCGACGCCGGTCTGGACGCCCACATGATCCGCAACCTCGATGCCTACTGGGCTCAGCTCCGTCTTGTCTACTCACCCTTTGAGGCTGGTCTTACCGGACCCGACCCCGAGGTCTACGAGCACGAGATTCCCGGAGGTCAACTCACCAACCTCATCTTCCAGGCTGCTCAGCAGGGTCTTGGTGAGCAGTGGGCTCAGACTAAGAAGGCTTATGAGCAGGCCAACGACTTGCTCGGTGACATTGTCAAGGTCACTCCTACGTCCAAGGTTGTCGGTGACTTGGCCCAGTTCATGGTGTCTAACAAGCTTTCCTACGATGACGTTCTAGCCAAGGCTGAACAACTTGACTTCCCGTCGTCAGTCCTAGAGTTCTTCGAGGGTCTCATGGGTCAGCCCTACGGCGGGTTCCCAGAACCTCTTCGCACACAGGCTCTCCGTGGCCGCAGGAAGATGGACAAGCGTCCTGGTCTCTACCTTGAGCCCGTGGACATTGTCAAGATCAAGTCTGAGCTCAAGGCGAAGTGGGGTGACGCCACCGAGTGTGATGTTTCATCCTACATCATGTACCCCAAGGTCTTTGAGGACTACAAGAAATGGACTACCAAGTACGGAGATCTCTCTGTGCTGCCTACTCGGTACTTCCTGGCCCGTCCTGAGATTGGCGAGGAGTTCCACGTTGAGCTAGAGAAGGGCAAGGTGCTCATTCTCAAGCTCCTGGCCATTGGTCCGCTCTCTGAGCAGACTGGTCTCCGTGAGGTCTTTTACGAGATGAACGGTGAGACCCGTGTTGTTACTGTTGAGGACCAGCACGCAGCCATTGAGAACGTTTCACGGCCGAAGGCTGATCCCACCGACAGCAGCCAGATTGGTTCGCCCATGTCTGGTGTATTGGTTGAGGTGCGTGTTCACGATGGCAGCGATGTCAAGAAGGGTGACCCTGTTGCTATCTTGAGCGCCATGAAGATGGAGATGGTCATCTCAGCACCACACTCTGGAAAGGTTAGTGGACTGTCTGTACGCGAGGGCGACTCTGTCGACTCTGGCGACCTTGTATGCAAGCTGGTCAAGTAAACAAGGGATATGGGATATGGAATTTGTGACGATAAGAATGAAGACGATTAAATGAATACAAAAGCAAGGCGCACGGATGCCATTTATGATTGAAAGTGTGCAATGACCTGATGCGTGTTATGTAACGAACTTTGTATGTGGTGATCAACAATGAACTTGTTTCGAAGAGGTCAAGTTTTGGTCTGAGTAATTTCTGGTTATCGCTAAGCAGCATGGGGGAAGAGATGCACACGTTTGGAGAGTAGACGAAGCTGGACTTTGTGTGCACATTTAGATTTTATTATGTAAGAGATCGCTAGAGGGGACTGATGTCCCGATTTGAAATGAAATCTGGTTCGAGATGCCAAGAAGGCAGACGAATACAGCATGGATTATCTAAGCTACTGTTTGATGGGTGCCAAAAAAAGCCAAATGCAATGTCGCCATGGACACCATGAAAATTGACTGGGAGAGGGTGATCTTGAATTTGGAATCATATACGAGAGAAATAGAAAGAGAGAGAGAGAGCTGCACTAGATCAGCCCATGGATCCAAAATCCAGCTTCCTGGCCACCTTATCAGCCCGACCGTTCGCAGGCGTCTCCCCCCCTCTCCGCTTTAAATCCTCACCCATAGCCTTCGTACCCCCACCTTCCTTTGGCAAATTCTCCTTCTTAGTCGGACGCGGCGCATTAGTCCACCACTTGTCCTCGAGCGCCTTCCTCGCCGTATACCTCTTCTGCGGATCCAGCGTCAACAGGCCTCTGATAAAATCACACCCATCATCTCCGAGGGTGGGGAACTCTTGCTTCCACCAGCTACGCGGGCGCGTCTGCCTGAACGCGGTAGTACCCTGCGGCCCCGTCTGCTTATCGGGGGCGACGTAATAAGGTAAAGCCGTGACACCGGGCCACGTCTCTTCCGTCGGGGTCCCGAATTTCTCGCAGATGACGGCGACCTGGCGCATGTCCGTGTCGGAATATAGGAACCAGTCGCGCTTACAGAGTTCGGCCATGAGAACGCCTATGCTCCACATGTCTGCTGTTCCGCCGTAGTGGGAGCAGCCGTAGAGAAGCTCGAGGGGCCGGTACATGCGCGTTATGACCATGGTGGTCATCTTGACGCCTGGATCCGCGAAGCTGCGTGCGAGACCGAAATCGGCAATTTTGACGGTGCCGTCTGCGGCGATGAGGGCGTTGCTGCCTTTGATATCGCGGTGGAGGACAAAGTTCTCGTGGCAGAACCATATTCCCTGGCAGAGCATGTTCATCCAGGCCTTGATGTCTGCTTTTGTGTATGTGATTTCTTTGTTTTTCCAGAGCTTCTCGAGGTCGCCGAGGGGAAGGTGCTCGAGGACTAGGGAGAGGTTTTGTTCTTTGGTAGAGAAGACATCGTGCAGTTTGATGACGTTGGGGTGCGACATTTCGAAGAGGAATTGCATTTCGCGGATAGCGTCAGGTGCGATGCCGTTGGGGTACTCGGCGTTGTATTTGATCTTCTTGATGGCGACAATGTGCTTGGGGTTGTCACGGTAGTGCGCTTGGTATACGACGGCGTAGGTACCCTCTCCTAGTCGTGGGCCCATGACGAACTGGCTCCGTACCCGGTCGTTCATCTGCTCTGCAAGGTCCATGCCGCCATCACCGGCTATCGTGGCGGGCGCGGGTGGCGCTGGCGATTTGACAGGCTTGGTGGTGTGGCTTGGGAGGGCGAGGGTCCTCGTCTTGCTCGCGGCAGACATGGCCGCACCTGGCGGATTAGGCCGTGGGCTGAGAACGACGGGCGATGCCATGGTGTGCTTGCGAGCAGGTCGCGATTGAGCCGGGGGAGAGTGCGTGTATGGATGTAGGTGGAGAGGCGTCAAGTAGACGTGGTAGAGGGTCGGGTGTTAGCAAAGGGCCCCAACCGGTATCATGAGAGAGGCGAGTCTGTCACCATCTCCATGCCTTTGTTCTCTTTCTTCTTGCTCTCCTCCTCTTGCAGTGAATGGGTCAAGATAGTGAATAGATAAATGGCGTGCATGGTTCTCTAGTCTCCACGGGCGCAGGTACCAGGCAAGGTAGGGCATAGCATGGCAGGGCAAGGCACGTCCCCGAACTTTTAGTCTTGGCCGCGGTTTTCAGCGGGGAGCTCGACCTCACCACCGCTGCACGTCGCAGCAGCAGCCATTGCACGCACCATGGCTACTTCTGCCCGAGGACCGCCAGGCACCGTTGCCAGCGAGGGCATTCCAAACAGAACGTAAGCTACTCACCGTACTTTTATATCTACACACTCACTCACGCTCATCCAGCCTCTACGTGCGCAATCTGCCCGACAAGCTCCAGAAGGATGACCTCAAACGCAGCCTGTACATGCTCTTCGCCACATATGGAGTTATCCTCGAAATTGTTGCCCTCAAGACCATGAAGATGCGCGGCCAGGCCCATGTCGTCTTCCGCGACGTCGACGCTTCGACACAGGCGATGCGTGCTCTACAAGGCTTCACATTTTTTGGAAAAGACATGGTACGTCTGCTGCGAACCTCCCTACCAAGCGTAATAGCTGACGCAGCTTAGCAAATTGCATACGCAAAGACAAAGTCAGATACCGTGGCCAAGCTTGACGGAACCTACAAGATGCCCGAGCCAGAACGCGCAGATGACGAACAGCAGGCGCCTGCACAGACATCAGGCTTTGGCGCTGCACCAGAAAAGGCAGTACCAGTTAACGCACAAGATGCGGCCAAGGGCCAGAAGCGAGCAAGGGAGGACGAGGAAGAGGAAGAGAACTCGGATGCCGAAATGGAGATGGACGTGAGCGATGAGGACTCGGACTAGAAGGACAACACAGTGCCTATAGAAGGATATGATACCCACAAGCAATGAAACAGAAATCCCGGCGGGATGGCATAAGGACAAGATTTCATCTGCATATGGTGGCTTCGAGTTTGTACGACACCGGGCTGGAGCTAGCTTTAGTCGGTGCTGACTTGATGTAGAGGAACATTATTACAAAAGACCAAACTAACCTACGAGCCTGTAGACAGCCGACAAGGGTCATGCCTCGCACCGAGCAGACGAGCAGTTTGGGCTTTGGCGCGTAGAAGTTGGGGTCAATATGAGACATTATTAGGTCTGACCGCCCGCCAATAGTTCTTTTCGTAGCAATCATTTTGTCTCGCAGGCTCTTTCTTGAACCGCGGTATGATGGTGGTCACTTCTTCGTTCTTTTCCAAAAGCTCCTTTCGTATTTGCCATGTTTACTTCAGGGTCTTTCTCGAACCAGGGTTGGGAAGGCAGCTGTCTAGTATATAAAGAAGACAACTCACCTCACCTTCACATTTCTTCTTCATCCACCACAGCTTGTAAGTCTTGCCCCCATTCTTAACATTTTTATGAAAGCTGTGCGATCACCCAAAACAGGTACCAATAAGCAAACAACTCCATGGATTCTGTAGCCCAAGGTTGGACCGATGTGAGGCCAGAGGCCGACGACTACCGCTTCCTACAGCGCTCCGATGAGCGCCGACAACTCTTTCAACAACTGAAGTCCCTCAGCACCCTCGACCGGTTACCCACGGTATTCTGGGCGTTCTTTCAGGTCGCCGATATCGAGGTTCTGCGAAGGGGGGTTGAGGACCAGATGTTTTTGACTTTGTTCGAAGACAGTGAAGTTAATTCAGCTCTTGAAAGAAAAGCGGTGGAAGCCCTCCTACTCTGGAAGCAGAAACAACCAGAGAAGCAACCTACAGCAAGGGCAACGCCGATCCGCTCGTCACCGAAAGTTCCCTCCAACCAACCATCCTCGAATCCTTCTCCTCTCAATACCAGCGTACTAGCCGGGTCCAAGCGAACTCGATCCGGACATGTAACTGGTGGCCAACAATACAGTGTTAGCCGACACGATGGCGTTAGGTCAAACTGTAAGAGGCGGGATGGAAACCTTTGCGCGGTCTCGAGGATGGCGGAAATCGACGCCGCCCATATTTACCCATGGTGCGGCTTTGGAGGAGAAAATGAGGGGCGAGTCAGTCAATTTTGGAGTATGATGAGGATGTTCTGGAAGCGCGAGGTGGTGGAAGGCTGGCAAAAGAAGATATTCGTCGATATCAATCATCCGTATCGGGGGACGGAGACAATCGAGAACATGGTCTCCCTATCGGCAACCCTGCACCGATTTCACTCGGCTGCCCGATTTGCACTCCGACCGATACAACTGTCGGCCGACAAGACACAACTCGAACTCGAGTTCCACTGGCTTGTTGTTGAAGAGCGCAATCGCCATGATAGGGTAGACATCATGGACGAACCTTTGTCTTCGGCCGGTCGGCGTTCAGCTGGACGGGGCTACGGCCCACTCGATCGGATCGATCCTGACGACGATGAATACCGGAAACCCCTCAAAAGCGGAACCAGATTTGTGATGGCGACCGATGACCCCGAGAATCAACCCCTCCCGGATTCAGGCCTGTTGACCCTTCAGTGGCACCTTCAACGTGTCCTCGCCATGACAGGAGCGGCTGGATGGAAGGAGGAGGAGTTTGGCGACGACGACGATGATGACAAGGACGGATCAGGCGTTACAACTCGCGATAACGTGGGAAATTGGCTCCAGAACGTCGAGCCTCCGGAGAATCATCGTCCGAGCCAAAACTCTCCTGAATGGGATTCGGACGACATCACAGATGGTTCGTTTGAATAAACGATACATCTATTCAAGCATCTTTTATCAGAAACCTCAAACTCTCTTCATGTGCTCAACGGAAACATATAGGAACCCCTCCGCATAAGCAAGCGAAACGTCGAGATTTGGGCCTTCCTTCTCCCCCGGTTTCGGATGCGGACCTCTTCGAACGCCCCGATTGCGCGAGCAAGATAACCTTGACGACTTTGCCTCAACCCGGGCCCGCGGCCACGAAGTTGTCGAGCGATTTCTGCCGAGTCGGCGGTGAAGAGGATAAGGAGTCAAATCTGCGGCACATGCAAGGGGTTCCGACATCCCATCAGAGACCCCGTCGGCGTAGCATATGAAGTAAGTCTTTGGGGTTGTTTGCGTACTGTGTACATGTTTTGTCTCGCGCGGGGTTTGTTTGGCTTCGGCTGTTTCCCCGTTAAAAAAAACGGGAGCCAAAACCCTACTCTTACCTCCCCGAGTCACGTCATCAGCTCACACTGATTGGCGTGCGGTGGCTCCTGGAAACTAGTGTGGCCTGTACACCTAGGCTAATAAGAGGGGTGACGTTTGTGTTTTATGGGACTTGTGTGAGTTGGCGATTCGTCACAAGCAGCCACTCGAACTTGATGTACCACGCTCAATCAAAACCGACAGTGAACACTAGATCTCTGCGGTACTGAGCCCCCAGCTGGTCGTGTTCAAAACGTCGTTTTACCAAACACGAAGCCACTTCCATCTCCGTTTTCTATACGGAGCTCCTCCCATTCCAATCGGCAAACGGCAAACGCGGACGGAGCCGACCAGACTTATGGTTAGTCATTGAGGTACAAAGTCCTCGTGCGCACAATCGACAGCGTAGCATCTCACCCCTCTTAGCTGTCGCTACTGAGAGCAGTCATAATTCCTAAACCTATGATGGCTGGTCGTTACCCTATTGTCCTTTGGACAGACACGCCGGTGGCGGCGGCGGTGGTCGTGGTCGTGGTGGTAGGTTTTCCCAGCCCTTGTGACAACAGACTCTAACAGATACATCAGGCTGAGCTGGAGGTAATGGTGATCCCCGTTCGTAATAGCCGCTGTTAAACATGCCGTCACGCCATCAGAACAATGAGCATCGAAACTGGCCTACTCTACGCGGAACGGCCTGGGCAGATGAAAAAGAGCAGTGCTATTCCCAGGAAGCTGGCCAAGGTTGTATCTAGCTAGTGAACTCTCCAAGTACACCTGTACATAGAGCCACCTCAAGCCATCTTGCCGTCAGCTGATATCGGGCACTTCGATTTTTTTTTCTTCTACCGGTGCTGTGTTAGCGCTAGGTTGTAACTAAATGCACACTCATTTTCCTCTCACATCTTCTCCCACTACTAGTACTACTACTACTACTACTACTACTACTACTACTACCACGCCTTCATCCCTCTTCAACCTCAAACCCAACCCTCAGCCACAAACTACACCCCTGACACCCGACCAGCACTTCGTTCTCCCCCCTCACCTGGGCATCCTCCAAGTCGTCTTCTACAATGCGAAACCCCTTCTCATCCCCGCACCGACACGCCCTCATCCATTCTACCCCGTTCTCACTCGTAGACGTCGTCTTGGTCATTGGCTCGACTTGGTCGAAATCGCTCAGGTCAACAAGTTCAAGACCGAGGATGAAATCCTCACTACTGGCCAGCGCTTGCTCCTGCGCACTTGTCGCCATGTTGGTCGTCGTCGTCGAGGAGCGCAGCGTATGTCGGTTATGAAGGAACCAAGTGTCGTATTCTGCTCGTGTCTTGGGATCCGCGAGTATTGTGTAGGCTTCTTTGACATCGTCGACCGTATATGTGGGTTTCGTCTTTGTGGTCATAGGGGCAATGCCGTTTTGTTTCTTCTTGTCTGGATGTGCTGCGAGTAGCGCTATTTTGTATGCTCGTCGCAGGTCTGCTGCGGTCTTGTTGGCTTGATTTGCGGGCTGGCGCCAGCCCGGTGCGTCGAGGCTCAGAATATGGTAGTAGTCTTTTGTGTAGGCCATGCTGCGCGACCACGATGGGTGTGAGTGTTTATTGGTAGACTGCGCTGCCCTCGAGGGGCCTTTCTCAGTGCTGCGTTTGCCATGTGTGACGCGACAAGACTGGGACAGAAAAGTTGGGCGGGGGTACTTTGTTCGCTTGCTCGGTACTAGTAGTGGGGCGCGCCGTTCCACAGCATTGGGTGCAGGTGCATGGCAACCTTGGAAAAGGACCGTTCAACTGCAACAGCCCCTCCCCAAGATCGACAATGTATGTATAGTAACGCAACACAAATCACATGTTCTGACCCAGGCTTACAACCAACCCTGTCCAAGGTGAGAAAGTCCAACATCACGGCTGAGCATTGCAAAAAGTCTTGAAGTAACGGCTTCTTTGGCTAGCTAAGAGTGCAGTATCATGACATTAAGCCCACCAGAGCGTTGCGTACTGCTCTGTCGGCCATCGAAGAAGATGTCCTGACTCTGAGTCCACCAAAAAAAAGACGTCAAACATCTCTATCCACCATAGGATCGAGCTGTTCATAGGCTGCCAAAACGAAAACATGGGGGGGAATTGAGGGTCGCATCCGAGGAACCGAGCGCAGCCTTTTCTCGCCGATAGCAGCCCAAGCCCTCGCAGAGAGAGCATCAGAAGTGCTGCAATCGTTGTTTTGACACAAGATGCCAGCACACTGCGTGCTCGATAGAATAGCGCTGGCGATACAGGATATTTAAAGGGAAATACATTTCAGTCATGGGGGAATTTCGACCGTACCGAACCGCTTGCTGCCAAAGCCAATTTTTGAAATCACACAGAACACGTACAACTCCGTAGGACGCTCGCTACCGGCCTCCTTCGTCTATTCGAAAACAGATGACGACGGCTGGGGATACACAAGGTCGAAGTAGGAAGAGTGCGCTTAAGCGGCAGCAGCAGGTGTCTCCTCAGGCTTGGCCTCGGTTGCAGCTGCTGCGTCCTCGGCAGGCTTGGCCTCATCCTTGGGCGCGTCGGCAGCGGCACCCTCGCCCTCGTTGCCGTCTGATGACGTCCAGAGAGTGAGGTTGTCACGGAGGAGCTGCATGATGAGGGTGCTGTCACGGTAAGACTCCTCAGAAAGCGAGTCGAGCTCGGCAATGGCGTCGTCGAAAGCCTGCTTGGCAAGGTGGCAAGCACGGTCGGGTGAGTTCAGGATCTCGTAGTAGAAGACCGAGAAGTTCAGGGCAAGGCCGAGACGGATGGGGTGCGTGGGTGTAAGCTCAGTCTGGGCAACGTCGGTGGCCGTCTGGAGCATAGTTAGCAATCTCCTGGTTTTTAGCGCTATGCAATGATTGCGTCATACCTTGTAGGCCTCGTGTGCAGCAGTGGCGGCAACCTTGCGCTTCTCACCGGAAGCGAATTCAGCAAGGTAGCGGTGGTAGTCTCCCTTCCTGTCCCGTTGTTAGCCCAGTTTTTGGGGTGTGTGTGCGTATGTGTGTTGGTGTGGTGGGGGGGTTTGCACGCACATCTTGTGGTAGAAGACCTTGGACTCGCCGGACTCGGCCTTGGGGATGAGGGAGTCGTCGAGGACGTTGAGGACATCCTGGCAAACCTGCTCAAGCTCGGTCTCGATCTTTTGGCGGTAGTCACGGATGGTGCCAACGTGCTTCTCGGTGCCCTTGGACTCTTCCTTTTGCTCGATCGAGGAGATGATGCGCCATGACGCGCGTCGGGTACCAACGACGTTCTTGTAGGCGACGGACAGAAGGTTGCGCTCGTCAACGGTGAGTTCACCGGCGACCTATGGGTGGGTTAGCAGGCGTTAAAGGGGGAGCTGGCAGCTGGCAGCTGGCAGCTGGAGCCTGCTCAGCCGTGTGCAGGCGGATGCGGTCGGGCATACCTTAGCGACTTCCTGCGCGATAGTTAGCATGCGAGGGGGGTTGAGCAAGCGTGACTGGCGTATTGACTGACCTTCATGTACGTAACCATCTCTGCAAGCAGACGTCGTCAGCACATTGCGCAGGACTCAGTTGAGGGCGCGCAGGACTTACCATCGTAGCGCTCAGCCTGTTCGCACAGCCGGGCGAGGAAAGTCTTGCTGTTGCGACGTCAATTACTGCAGGGAGCCGTGGCGGGCAAGCCTATCGTACCTCTCACGCTGTTTGCAAGAGTCTTGTCAGCATGTGTTGCATATATACATGTGTGAGTGTGTACGTATGCGTGTAGTCTATCGGGGACCCAGAGGGGCATCCCGCGGCGGACAACANGGGGGGTGAGTGGGAGAAGATAGGATGGGGCTCACGTACCTCAGTCGCCATTGTGAAGAAGTAGCTGGAGGGAGTGGATGGGGTGGTTGTGGTGGTTGAGTGTGGGGTGGGGTGCAGATGGGCTACGGAAGGATAGACGGTGGATGGAGTTGTTGAGGTGTTTGTGTGGATCAATGGACAGAAGAGGATCGAAGTTGTTTTGAGGAAGCGAGCGTCTGCCCTAAGAGAGTCCCGGGGGGCCGTGCGTAAAACGAACAACACCACCCCGTCGCCTGCGCCTTCCCCCAATGGGCGGCTGGGACGAGTCTATTCACATGCCCGCCTGCCCCGTTCGCGCCGTTGGCATGCCGTGTACCTGCTAGGCCGACGTCCTGTACGTACATATCCACACATGTGCACTCCCACACGCCCCTTTTGCCATGGCGTTCCCCTATTCCTTTGGTGCCTGTCGTTGCTGCTGCCTCTGCTACTACCACCGCTGAGGCTGTGCGCGACAACTCAAGGAGCTGGCAATGAGGGGTACATGGGGGGGCACGTGAGCATTCAGGGTCTATCCACCCACCCATCCATCCATCCCCCCAAAAGAGCGCCCACTGCCAACGCCCACAGCCCTGCCCAATCTCCCAAACCCCCGTGACGGCGCGGGCAGGCTTTGCATGCTGTCCAGCCGTCAGCCTGTAGTCGTTGCCGCCCAGCAGTCACACGAGGCGGGCGTGGGAGGGCGGCCGCCAGCGAAGGAGAGAGAGAGAGGCTGACTCCTGCGCTGCCGTCCCATGTTCAAGTGGGGGCCAATCAGTGCACCTTGGAAACAGCTAGAAAACTTGGACGGGCTCCTCTTGCGTGGAGCTGCTCTGGTTGCCCCATGATTCGTGTCGCGCTGTGGGCAGAGACTACCCAGCTGGTGTGCGTACATGCGCCTCTGGTGCTTACATACCACCACCACCTAGTTACCAAGTATCCAAGTACACACATGCACATTTGCATGCTGAGAAGAAGCAGTTGCGACGCCCTTCCACTGCCAACTCACGGGAGAGAGGAAAAAACAAGTACATACACACGGCATGCACATTTTGCCTGAATCCCCAGCAACCACTTGTGCATTAAAAAACTTGTGTGCTGACACCGTCTTTGCCGCATGCCACATATGCATTCCACAATCCCCTTCCCACAACCCGGGCCCTGGCTGGTCCGCGCGGTATAATATGCCGTCGCGGCCCGCTACCAGAGCCTTTCGCCCGTGTACACGCCTAGCAGCCAGCAGCATTGACCGACACCCTCTAGTAGTTGCACGGGTCTCTGCTGCGCAGGGACATGTTCGTGCCCTTTGACCTCCTGGAGCCTTCCCGGAGCGATTCGTGTCTGACCCAGACTGCTGACCGACCTTTTGTCCATCCATGTATCATGTCTATCTGTCCAATCAACCATTCAATCACATCGCCTCCCCTCTATCCGCCCACCAAAACGTCGTTTGCAATCACATCAACAATCGCCACACTCCTAGCATCAGCGCCGCCGTACCCGTACACACTCCCATCAGCCACTGCAGAGTCGAGAACTTGACGGCTTCTAGCCTCTCCCGGAGCTGTGCCGTTTCCTGCTCGATCCTCGTGTCCGTCTCCTTCAGCTTGAGCTCCTGCACATTGGCCTCCTCGCGAATCCTCCCCTTCTCTAGATTCAAGTCCAGCCTGACCGACGCCTGAGTCCTCTGTATCTCGTCCCGTAGTCGCGAGTTCAGCTTGGCAAGTTCGTTGGTGAGCCTCTCGTGTGATGCCCGTGTAAGACTGGATTCGGTCGAGTCCGCCGTCATGAGTTCCGAGCGTAGCTTTGCAAAATCAACCTTCTGCGTGTATGTAGCTTTTTCCTGGTCCTCGCGCAGCACCATGGTACGTGTGAGATTTTGTATGCTTGCACAACGTCAGTTTGCGCCCAGTCTTTGAACCTCCATGCTTTTCCTACACTTACCTCTCCTCAATCACGTCGCTGAGCACCCTCATCATCCCTTCAGCCTGCTCTTCTGTGAACCCCTCCTCTTTCAGCCGCTGCACAAACTTGAGCGTGTCGAAATGGTGATCTTTGGCCTGCTTCGCCGTTGCGCTGAAGCTGTGCTGAAGCTCCAGAGCAGACCCGTGCCCGCCTATACGTTGTGACCATCTCTGCTGCTGCCATTGTCTTGTTCCTGTTGTCTGAAGAGGCGAGAGCTTCGAAAGTGGCATGCGACCCTCCGGCCTTGCCCAACAAGATCCATGCCGCCTTGCTTCTACGGCGCTTTGCGCCACAGGCCGCGAGCTGCTTGTAGACCATTGAAGTCGAGGTACAAGAAATCGCGGAATCGCCGCCGCCGATATCGAGGGCGCTGCCATTGTGCCGATGTTGTAGTTCTTACATCGTCTCGCTGTCGAGAAATTGGCAGCCGCCCGCGGGTACCCAGCCAAGCCTCGCAGACGTCAACGGATTTGCCGAATTCGGCATACCATTCCATCGCCCTCACTAAGCCCACCCTGCAGCACCACGCTTTCTCGTTCTGCATCCTTACTTTTTTTTATTTATCATTCTATTGTATGTTTCATTAGAATTTCTTCAAAGCACATATTCCCTAAGCCATAAACATCGCTTGCTATGCATGCCTACTACTAAACAGACAAGAGTACTCAAATAAAGCAATCACCACCTCCTTATCTATCTTCCGTATTCCAGGCTCGGTACAATCACTGGTCCGTACTTCATCGGCGCACTGTATCCACCCTCATTCTGCACCATAAAGTCGACCGCCAGACTTAACTTGCCCCCGCTGTGACCGGGAACACCTTGCCCAAACGACCCATTCACAACATCAGGATCGTATATCACACACGCCACATAGTTTCTTCGACCCATCAGTCGCTTGTACTCCCGTGGTTGTCCATTGACGTCTTGCGTAAAGATTTCCATCATGTCTTCCTTGGTGTCCGAAGGCTGATTGTTACTGCGCTGTGCATTCTGTGGAACATAGAGCGCACGGTTGTTGTGTAGAAGTCGCAGGACGTAATTGCTGGGCGGTGCGTTCACGACTGAAGAGGAGATAATCTGGTACATGGTCTTGTGGTCCTGGGGTCTTGAAGGGTCATGAACTAGACCCGCGCCACAGCAGTCAACACCGCCAGAGAAGAATGTCATCCGCAACGACTTGTTGTGAGCAATGCCTTGCAGTGTCCGGATCAGATATGTCCGCTCAAGGTCCTAGGTTTGGTTAGCATGTTACTTGAAATCATGTGGCCTTCACTAACCTTTGAATCGTGCGTCCACTGATCTCTCAATTCATCGAGCAAATCAATCTCTCCAAACGGACTCAAGACGCCACTCATCAGCCCAGACTTGCCGATAGCCTTCTTGACCGAGTTGAAACCATCTCCGACAACACTCTTGGCACCAACAACACCAGCCACTCCAGCAGTCACCTTTCCAAGCATGTTGAAAGTACCAGTGACAGCTTTCTTGCCTGTGGCCATCGAGTGCGCAAGATGCTCAACAGACTCAAGGCGGGGATATACAATGGGAACAGGGATCATCCAGATACAGTGTTGCACACTGGGCGGTAATGTTGCCACCTTGGGGAAGATGCCCTGATACGTTGGTCCTGCCATGACTTGATGCGGGTTACGTTCTGAGCGGCAGTCTGGGCCAACAACTGTGACACAAGGACCCAGGTACTTGATAAAGTGCCAACCTGTACCGGTTATCGTAAAAAGGTCCATGTCGTTGTTTACATTACGGAGTATTTCGAGTGTTGTGTGGTGCTGGAAAAGCAAGTACATTTCAATACCCAATCTTCCAATGTTCTTGAACATGTTGGAAAACTGCATGTGTTCAGGATACGACCCGAAGCCATCAAAGCTGCAAACTGTTAGTATCTATACAGCTCAAAGGGTTAACAAGAGCTTACATGTCGTGGTCGTCAAGAGCTAGAATGTGGGGAATTTGAGCAAATGCCTCTCGGAGATGTGGCTGATCAAAATGGCTGGTGTAATAGTGGAAGTATGCGTGACAAACGTCTTCCTCGTGCTTCGCGGTCCACGCTGCGTTCTTCCGGACCTCTTTACCACTTGTTGCCGTCCATTGCTTCAACAATGGAAGCTCTTTCCACAGGCGGTCAGCATAAATCTGACCGCCCAGGCCTAGTTGTACATGGAAGCCACCGCACTCGGCGTTCTTTTGCAGAATGTCCTTCCACATCAATCCAACCCCACCGAGTCTTGCTCGCTCGTTGGCGTTAACATTGAGTGCAAAATCGTTTCCTGAATGAGCAATAAACCTCCAGCTGGTCTCATGTCGCCCAGCTACCAAGAACTCAAATCGAGTGCACCCCAAGTGTGATGTGATTGCGTAGGTCCACTTGGCTGCACGGTCGTCTTCCATCTTCAAGTCAATGTCGTATCTGTAGAAGATCCATGTTTGGTGCGTGTAAATTGGGTTGGCCTTGAGCTGTCGTGGGTTGGGTGACAGATCTGTACTCTGGTGGATATGAATTGTAGGAGGATGTGGGGTGTTGGTAATGAGAAGAATTGATCCCAGCCATAACCCTCGCTCAACGTCCATGTTCGTATACCTTAGGTACGGCCCAAAGTATACGCCATTGGTAGGAGCTACTTTGTACTGGTCTACACCTGCAGCGGGAGGTGGTCCAGTGAAACCCGTGGTAGTTGGAGTTGCAAGGGGTGCCATGCCAAAATCTCCAGGAAAAGTAGCCGTCTGGGGAGCAAAGCCAGGCGACGCCATAGGAGTCTTTCCAAAAGATGGGGATGCCAAAGGACCACCAACAAACGTGCCTGTAGGCGACATGGGCTCGTTCAGATTGAGAGGCGTGGGTCCCTTGGGAAACTCCCATTGCGTAGATTGAGTGGGAAGATGGATGTAGTAGTACTGACCAGAGTTGGGGTCGAGATGTGCTATCCAACCCTCAGGGAGTGGTGGGGGAGATGCTGGTCCTGGCCCTGGCCCTTGGGCTGGAGCCGGGCTTGGCGTATGAACTGGTTGAGCCGTTTGTGCCTGCGGCGGGAACTGGTTCTGTGTGGGTGTTGGGGCTACTACCGCTGCTGCAGGTTGCGATGGTCCAGCCTGCGGGCGCGCATCGTTTGCGAATGCAGGGTGACCCTGGTTGGGATCAGACAGCGCCACGCCTTGAGCAGCTGGCTGCTGTCCTTTCTCATTGGGATAGCTTTGGGCTTGGCCAGTTGGCGGGGTCGTTATGCTCGAGTAGGCAGGCGGTGGCTCCTCATTCAAGTTCATGCGGCCCATGTCCTGGCTCAGAGGATGATCCGGGGATGCGTTTGTCTGGGATGCATTTGCAGGAGGGGGTGAGAAGCGCGTGTTTGGCGCTTGCGGGAGAGGGCCCTGGGGAGGCGTGCTTGATGGAGGTACCTGATCCATACCTTGGTACACTGCTGGTGGACCATGCGGCATGTTGCCTGGCTGCTCGGTGGGAGTCCATGGTCTTCTTATGGGCTGTTGGTTGGCATAAACCTGATTTCGCTGGGCGGCTGCTGCATTATGGGCACTCTGGGCTTGTAAATTGGTGAGGGTTGAGGTTCCTGCGATGCCTGCTGCGGCAAAGCGCGCTTCAATGCCGCCTGCGGAAGGAGGGATGATGGGTGTCTCTGGAGGTGGAGGCGAGCCCCGCTGCGCCCTTACTGTCGAGGTTGAAGCCGTGGAACTTAGGCGGTTGACGCCGACTGGCGTGGGCACTTTGAGCGCAGGCTCATCTTGGTTGGGTCCTGTGTAGACGACATTGTTCTGCGCAGGTTGTGACGAGGACTGTGCACTAGGAGGGGGAAAGTACTGCTGGTGGTACTCGGGATATGGGTTGCTGTTGGCAGGCGCATCTCCAGTGTGCTGCCTCTGAGGCGCCTTCTGGAACAGCCCCTCCTTGTCAGGCGTGTCTGGACCGGGTGAGTCTGGAAGGGGCTTTGGCGCAGTTCCTCGTCGCTCTGCGAGTCTCGAGGGCTGGACTGAGCCGTCTGGGTGCCTGCTGCCGTAACCAGCTATCGTCGGCCTGTTTGGGTCGTTGGCCTCGAAGCGAGCGCGCTGACCGGGCGAAGTGGGACTGGGCCCGGTCGCATTCGACCCTCTCCTCGGTTCTTCTCTTCCTTCAGCAGGCGTCGTGTTTGCGCTCCGTCTCTCGCGCTCGCTGAGGGGTGTGTATCTTCCGGTGCCGAGGGTAGGCTGAAGATTGGGCGGGCGGTCATTGTCCGGGTAAGGCAGAGGGGCAGTAGGAGGGCTCGAGGGGGGTGCGGGGAACGAGGGCATAGGCGGCGGGCGCGAGAATGCGGGCTGGCTGGAGCTGCCCGCGGAATCTGTTCGTGGCGGCGGGCTCTTGCCATCGCGGCCTTTCTGTATCCTCAGGGGCCCGACGGTAGGGATGATGGGTGTCTCCGGGTTGGTGTCGTATCGCAGGAAGAGCTCCTCCTCGGGGCGGCCCTGCTTGCGCGCGTCCATGGCTTTGGGTGGGCTTCTGGAGTTGCTTTTGCGCGTGTTCCTGGATCGCCAGCGATGACAGGCGTGGGCTTATTTTTGGCGACGGGCGCTGACAGCTCGACGTGCGCAAGCAGCCGGGGGAAGGGTGGGCGGCGGAGGGCTGCTGGTGGGGTAGTGGCGCGAGGCCTTGTGGCTGGTGGCTGGTGGCTCGATATGACGTTGCGACACGGGCGAGGGGCACCAGCAGTCCAGGAGTCGTGCATGCGCAGTCTTCCGGGCCGGCCAAGTTTTATAGGAAAAGGAGATGCGCATGGCACAAGATACGCCCCCCCTTCGTGCTTGTGCCTACGCGATGCTGCTGACTTACGTAGGCCTATTGCCCGCACACAGCCTTCCCGCAAGTTGGGCTGCGGCGGGTCTTGCTCTACAGCACCACCCTGGCCGTAGGAGGCGCCCGCCCGTGTGATTGGATGCGACGAGCATTTACGCGCTGCGGCCGGATTGGAGACCGCTGGTCACACTTGGCGGGCGCATGCGACTTGCCTTCTGTACCTGAGTGGCACACGCTGCCACCCGCCCTGCACCAATCACGCCCGCTCCATCGCTAGCCGTGTCTGTGGCTGGTGGCAGCCACTATGCCCTCGCGATCACCATCGCAAAGCGGGCCGCGAACTACTTCATGCACCCCTGCTGCGGGCCGATACTCTCCAACATGGCCAAATATGGAACTCCTGCGTGACATGTATGTATGCGTCCTTCATCTCCATTCATTCATTCATTCATCTCCTACCAGAAACACGTAGACGGCCGGTAGCCCTCGGAGCATCATCCCTGCTGTGAAACCATTCCCGGCCATCCATCCCTTGCCACACTTGTTACCTTCATCGCACGGGTCTGAGCACCTCCCAATCCCTCGTATTCTGCATGTCCTCGGGCTCGTCGTCCATCAAGCTCCTTCCACCCATACCACTCCGTCCACCCCCGTTAGTGTTTGTCCGCGGAGGCAGAGCCGGCTTATGATCATCATCGTCCATCAAATTTTGTATCGGTTTCCGTGCAAGGTTAGGAGGGGGTGCCATTGATCGTTTCGCTGGCGGTGGGGGATACGCTCTCGATTCCTCCATTGGCGGGTCGTCGCGGTATCTTTGAAGCGGCGGGGTCGGTGATGTGCGTGTAGAAGACGATTTTGTAAGAAGAGTAGGTTTCTTATTCGGAATTGGCGGGGGAGCGGGTTTACGGAGTACCTGTGGTGTGCTGTTGCTGCTGGAAGGTTGGTTTGGGGGCAGCGTGTTTGAGGCCCGGTAGGGTAGACTGGGTAAAGAGTGTGTTGAAGCTCTTGAGCCAGACCGCCCAAGATCATTTAATCCGTCTCGCGAGTCTCCCGAGCTAAGAATCTGCTGTGCATGGCCTGGATACAGCGGTGCAATCATCTTGCGTGTCACTGGCTTCTGTATTGGTGCTGAGTTTGTCGAAGACATCGGCTTGTTGAAGTCAACCGTGCGTGTCCTTTGCGAGCCACGTGCTGGTGGTGGCTCTGGTCTACTACGACTATTCTGCAATTGCTTGATATCCACCCAATCTGGTTCTGGGCTGGGGATGAAGGGATTACTAGGTCTGTTCGGATTGGGCAAGAGATCGTTAGATGGCGGCTGAACGCGCGCTTTGGCTGGGAGACCTTTGGAAAATGAGCATCCATGCTACAGCAGAGAGGAGGGCAAAAGTACCATTGTCAAGCCACCATTTCCTCCGATCTGAGCTTGCCGGTGGTAGTCCGGGCTCTATGCTGTCGTATCCAAGCAGGTCTTCATCGTCTGTTTCATCTTCCCCTAGATGGTCAGCTGCCCTGGTGTCACCAACAAATTCTCGTCGCTGTCTATACAGAGCCGCTTTCAAACTCTCCTTCTTCTTTTCGTCAACTCTTTGCACCAAGACTTGGAATGTCGCATAGACTGGCCGATGGTCGGAAAATCGAAGGGGCGCGTCGTTGTAGTGTATCTGTCGAATATTGTCGCCTTTGCGGAGAACACGGTCGCACCATGCAGGTATGCGTGCTTTTTCCGATGTATCATACTGATCACTATTAAGATCGTACTTGTACGTCGGTGGGAAGGTAATGCGTGCTTCCGAATAATAGGGGAAGGTTAAGCCTGCGACCATCTGCAAGTTGAGCTAGGGCATGTCAGTAGCGATCATTACTGTGAAAGTTAAATAACCTACCTGATCGTTCTCGTATAGCGTCTCAAGATCGCCGACATGGCACAATTTCTTCACCTTCTCGTTACTCAGACCTATTCGGTAGTTGAAGTCACCAAGCCATATCACGGTATCATGGTCGTCGATTGATCTGTTTCTCTGGAATCGCAGTCCGTGGCTGATCGTCTTGTAGTCGCGGTTGCGCTCTTCGTAGTTGGCAAAACCAGCTGCAAGATGTGCAGTGACAAGGCAGATTGAGGTGTTGGCATATTCGAAGCGGATTGCCACAGCACCTTTGTTGCCAGCCATGCCAGACATACCAGTCTACCGAGTTGGTTAGTGTTTTGATATCACACATAAGATCTTTGTGCCTACCTTTTTCAAAGCACCCTCAACATTCTTGATGTGCTTCAGACAGTCTGACCGAACAAAAACTGACAAGCTTGCCCCAACTAGCTGTCCGCCTCTGAGCATAACATATTCGTCCTTGCCGTGTCTCTCAGAGTTTCTGTTCAGACACGTCCTTACGGCTTCTTCCCAAGCCTCTCGCCGATCTGGGTCTGTAGACATGATCTGCTGGGGGCTCAACTCAACGATTTCTTGGAATCCCACAGCCACTATCTCGGGGCACTGCTGCGAAGCATCGACATCAGGACACAGCCATGGCGACAGATCACTTCTGATTCCATCCGTTTTTCCGTTCAGGTTGAACGTCCCAACAAGTATGTTGATCATCTCGGTTTCTGAGTACTCTGTAGACCGCCTTGCAAGCTCGGTGACAACAAAGTCGTTTATTGGGTCATAAAGGTGCACTGGTACTTGGCCAATGAGTCGTCCGAGAAGCATGTCGATTGTGTTTTGCCGTCCCTTGTCCGCAAAGTTGTTGATGTACATTCGCGTGGCGCTTTTCCGAGCATCCGCAAGAGCACCGGCAAGCGACATCTTCCCAGATCGCGTAAAAGAGGACTTCAAAGCACCGGTGCCGGCATAAATCTTGGACAGAGCATCGCCGTTATCTGCCCACATGCTTGAGTGTCTGGCCCAGAAGTCTTGAGTGGCTCTGAGGCCTTTGTGGCCCAGGAATAATTCAAGCGCCATCTTGCTAATGATGGTTTGGACGAGATTCGTCCGATCGAGACAATCTAGACAGTTCGTTCTGAAAATTCCCTCTTGTTGCAATACGGTCATTGTCCGTCGCACAAGATAGTCTTGTCCGTTATGCCTCGTCTGCTCTTCTACCTCTTCAGAAAGGTAGTATCCAAAGCCTTCTGCGGAATCTTGGATCCACCTGGCGATCATGCTGGCCATCTCGTACCCACCTGGCCCCCGTGTCTCGGCATGGAAATCGTATTCGGTGAGCTTGATGAGATCATGTTCGTGTTGAGCAGGATCATGCCCGTGGTTTAGCGGGCTGTTGCGGATATGACCACGGTATCTGTATGACAACTCCAGCTCATTCTGCTTTTCATTGCTCAGCAAATTGACTACGTGTATCGTACCATAGCTCAGCTCTAGGGTTTCAAAGTGCTTGTCAAAAGCCGGCTGAGTGGCTTCTGGAGATCGCGTGATGGTGATCTTCTGTTGATTGGGCAAAAGGCCAGCTTGTTGCTCCCAAAAGATAGGCACACTTCCTCGTACTTGTACGTACGAGAAGCAAGCTCCTGATGGAGCCCAATGGATTGTTTCAGTCTCAACAAAGTTTGCGACGTTCCCGTCGTCGTCAATGCCTCGTGAATTGAACCTGGTGCCAGCCCTTTTGCATGATAGTCTAGAAATAAGGGTCATGGAAGAAGGCATGCCCGAGTCCTGGACTCTGATGGGCGCCGAGGCCTTGGGGATTGTAATCGTCAGTGCAAAACCGCGAATTGCTGATGTCAAGATGCCCGATGCGTCCAACGCCTCTTTATCCCTCGATGCGAGCCTGCTCCTGAAGTCTACCAGTGGCTGTATCATGTATGAGTTCCACAGAAACCCGGCATCCAGGCTATCGATGGAGACAGTGGTAGCGTCCGTGGTACGATCTTGCAACCGCCTGGTAAGGTCAAAGTCTGAGCTGTAATAGAAGGTTCCGCTGCTGAGAATCTTCTTGAGCGCCAGACACGGGTGCTCCGTCGGGCTCTGTTCTTTCCTGCCTCCAAATCCCATTTCGTATCCCTCGTCGTCTATTGTATCCGTAGGGTAGGGGTTGACTTCATTGTCAAGCAACATGTCATAGCTGGTGCTGGTCAGGCAGTAGAAGCCGACAGAGTGTATTCGTTGCACGGTCTCGCCCGGCCGTACGGTCGCAACTTTGCTTGCGCCGTTGACTACGATTAAGAACACATTGTTGTCCACGGTAATCAGTCCCAGGGTACCATGCACGTTGACTGAGTTTATAGCCCTGTAGTCCTCCAAGTCGATTTCCTCCAACCGTGTGAACTCGACCATGCAGCGCGCGACGCCAGCGCCATTGCTTCCCAGCGACGTTGACGAAGCATTTGGATTCCCATTGTGCTCGGTGGTGGAGGCGCTGTGTCGGAGGACGAGGGCGTGGGTTGAAGTAGCAAGTGCGATTGCGCGGTGCGGGTAGTCTTTGACCAGGACGCGGATAGACATTGTTGGTGGTAAGGGGGTGCGGCAAGCGGCTCGACGGGCGCTTCGGGCATGTCCCACTTGCTGTACTTACGTGCAGCGGTGAAGAGTGCCTGCGCGCAAAGTATGACGGTCGTGGCAAGTAAGCACGTGTACTTGGAGGATTGTTTTCAGCTATGGGAATAATCTTGGTCTCAATGCTGATCGCAACCCTGGACTCATGTGCACATGCGAAACCGCTTCGCTGGTGCCCAAGG